GGGACGCACAGTAGATGCTGGAAAGAGAAGTTTAGTTTTTCTTTACTGACCAAATGTGTTTTATCGTCCTCTCAGTCGCTCTAATTTGTTTCCATCTTTGTCTCCTGTCTGATCTGCATAAACACGGCCTGCAGTTCAGCTCAGTCCATGTATTTTTGCCATGTCACTGCTGATCACAGCTGAGTCACTCATTACATCTCAGTTGTGGCAAAAAGTGACAAATTTGTTGTTTTCTTTTTGCAGGATCTGGTGCAAAAAATATTTTTTTAACAATTGTACATTTTTAAGTAAGACAAAGTGTTGAACAAAGTGATTTTGACAGTCAGAACGAGGAAAATCCAACATTTTTTTCTGTTTTTGCAGAGTGTGACACTGATACATGGTGGACTTTTATCATTTTTTTTTTTAGAGATAATGTGCCTTTCAAACCCGCTGTTAGGTTTTGGGGTGGAGGGGGTTAAGAATTATCAGCACTACTGTCATATCTCACGGCTCTTACACCCATGTGTAAACACAGCTCAGTGAGAAATTTCCCTTGTCATCATCAACCTCACCAGCTGAGAGAGCAGAAATGAAATCTGTGATCTGTCCCAGGATGAATCGGAGATCAGGCTGAGGCTTTACCAGCAGGTCTATTTATCTGTTCACAGGACTGAATACCAACCAGGTTGAGAAAGACACACAGAAAGATTGGTGTATTAATGCCGAGTGGCACATCAGGCATTGCTTTCATATTTTGCAAGCATTTATGTCACCCAACAAACCCACACACCTTCTAAATCAACAAGTGAATAATGCCTGCCGATGAGCTAAATAAAGATTTGACGTGTGAAATGTTGGTTATCAGCACTGCAAAATTCCACAGAAGGAAAAACAAACTCAATCAAGGCTGATAAAAGTGCTGATAGAAACTTTCCAACATCAGTGCTTAGGAACGAAAGCTTACATTCTGTTTCCAGCTGCTGAATACTCTTACATTTGTTCAAACCTTGAAATGACTGAAGTTCAGACTATCTGTGTGGGCAAAAAGTCATGGCTAAAAGGTTCTTCCAGAAAACAAGCTTTCACAAAACTCTGCACTGTTAAATCTTGACTCAACTTTTTCATACTGTTGGCAGATCTATATCTCAGCTCACACTATTCTAACATTAAGTCAGGATCTTGAACACCAAACTCTGACGTGGCTTTTAAACGAGCTACGCTGTCTCTGGATAAACTTAGTGGACTGGAACTACACCCTGCATCATTGTGAGGCCTAGCACTGTAGACTAGGTTAGATTAGATAGAACTTCACTGATCCCTTTGGTAGGGTACTTCAGGGAAACTGTGGTTCTAGAAGCAGCACAACACCGACAGAGACAACACTAACACAATATTACATGTATGTGCAATTAAAGCGATTTCACAAGAAAAAACATTGCAAATACATTTAATGTCTACACATGAAAAGTTTGAATAGCAATGTGGTGTCAAAATGAACCACCATAATTACATAGTATAAAGGGCTTTTTGCTTTACAAAGGTTAGGCCCTGTTGTATCAGACACCCAGATGTTAGCAGCAGATCCTTTAAGACCAAGAAATTGCAAGGTGGGACCTCCATGGATCAGATTTGTGTCTTCAGGACTTCCCACCAATCTTGAGCAATTTTTGAAGAGCAAATTATCCTGTTGAAAGATGCCACTGCCTTCAGGAAACACTACTGCCATGAAGGGGATCACTGCTTACATGAGTGTCAAAGTAACATCTAAAAAAAAAGAAAGAAGAAGAACCTGAGCTTTCCCAGCAGACAATTGTCCAGAAAAATCACACTACTTCTGCTGGCTCACCTCTTCCCAACATGCATCCTGCTGCTATCTTTTCCCCAGGTATACCACACACTTGGCTGTGCACATCATGGAAAAGAACAAGTTTTGATGCTCATGTACCCATAGTAGGAGCTATCAGTGGTGGACAGGGGTCAGCATGGACACTCTGACCAATCTGCAGCTACACATCTCCATACACAGCAAAATGTGACAGTTTCAGCAGCTACAATAGCCTTCACTCTCGGTTCACCGGTTGCTCTTTCTTGGACCACTTCAGTACATGCTAACCGCTGCATACCAGTAACAACCCACAAGAGCTGCTATTTCAGAGACGCTCTGACCCAGTAGTCTAGCCATCACAATACGCTTGCCCATTTTTGCTGCTTCCATCACATCAACTTCAAGAAGTGACTCCTCACTTGCTGCCTAATGCATCCCACCACTGACAGGTGCAGCGAGATAATCTGTTATTCACTTCATCTGTCAGTGAATGAACGTAGCTCATCAGTGTGTACAAAACATTAAAGCTGTTACAAACACAACACGGTATTCACAATACATTAGTATCGTAATAGACACAATGAATTCTGTATATCTGCATTAATTAAACATGAAAACATGTCATGTTTAACCTCTAAACAATTGTGTTCGCACCTAAATGCATTTAATTTAACTGCTTTTTGATCTGATTTTGTCACAGTAAAAAACACGAGTGCAAGACAAATAAATTAGGATGTATAATTAATCAAAATGCACAGCACAACATAAAAAAATCCCAATACTATGTAATTGTGGCTCTTGTTTTGTCAGACTGCTGCACCTCAGAACTGCTTTCATTATAAATTATTCGACTGGTTATTTATTGATTAACTGTTTGGTCTTGAGGGAAAAATGTAAATACAATCACAAGCTCCCACGATCCACGGTGGCATCAAATCAATGCTTCTCTCAGTTTTTCCCGTGTTGGTTTTGAAACAGAACAAAGCGTACGGTACCTTTCGTGAATGCAGACACACAAACAGCACCTGCTCCACGCTAAGTCCTTCTTATTTCCAAGCAGTTTGCTCCTCAAAGCAGAGTCTAGTTCGTCCTCTTATGCCTGCCCACTCAACTCGTCTCAACCTGGGCCACTTTATATACCACCAGAGTGAGGACACGGTTAAGCCGTGCATGAACTCATCAACCTTTGCCCAAGGCCCCTAATTATTGTTTCCCTCGGTCCTCAGGCTGCTATCATCAACCAAGCCTGTCATTAGATGAGAGAGTGATGGCTGTGGGCACTAAGTCGGTTCACCGAACGCATTGTCACCGTGCTCCAGTCATCCTGGGTTTACAACAAAGGACCTTCCACCATAAAATTAGAGGGTTTAGCCATGTCTTGGACGGGAACAAACCCTCACTTTTACCCTGAGACCAGCTTAGAGGTCAGAAATCCACAAGTAGGAAGCCACAGAGCAAATGCACTCAAGTAAACTCCACACCTAGGCACCATTTTGAAGTCATGAGATGTTATTTCTTTCCAATTTATGAGACAAGTGTAGACATTTAACTTGACAGCTGTAGTTTTAATTAGCAAACACGACATGAACACATGGAGTCATTGGAAGAATATCATAAATATTTATTACTTATTATTTAATACATGTTAAAGGTAATTGCAGAACTAATTTAACTTCCAGAACTCTGAAACTGTGTTTATTTGTGGGAGCACGAGCAATACCTTCTATGATTAACATTATCTATATAAGTTTTTTTTTTTCCATTATAATGTTGCTCAGGGTTTACAGGAAAAAACATAGACTTTTAATGACATCTTTGCTTTTTGCTTCACAAAAGTTAATGTCACGAAAATTTGCAAAAAAACCGCTACATCTGCTTTTACATTGCATGATGGAAAAATAAACGTAAATGAATGGTTGAAAGTTGACATTTATTAAACTACTTCCTTTTTTCTGAGATTTTTACATAAATATCTTTGAATTCTATTGATATTCCAGGTTTTTCCCAACTATATGAAGCCTGGATGCTGTTTTTTCCTGATCATTTAAGGGTTGAGTTTTCTTTTCTTCCACGTAAGCAATCACAAAAGGTGTTGTAAAGCAGTAAAAACAAAGTTTGAGACTTTATGCCTGCCATAAAGGCATAAAGGCAGGCATAAAGTCTCAAACATTGTTTTTAAAGGTCTTTATTGTGTCTCCTTGCCTGCTACAGACAGTAACAATAGTAATAATGCTTGTTCATGTGGCTGGAGGCTGTTGGGAGACATTACACCTCTAAAAACTACATGTAAGACGAGTGTTACAAATTTTTTATCAAGTTTTGAGTAAGTGAGATAGCAGGTGAAACCAGATGTTAGTAAATACATCAATGAAGGTTCTGCACCTAAATAGAAAATAAGCTCCATTAACGTAGGGTTGCAACTAACGATTATTTTCACTGGAATTTTCCCTGAAATCAGAGAATTTGGGCTTTTTTTCCTTTAAAAAATGATCAAAATATTCGATGATGAATTAATCAACTGACAACTACTCAGTTAGTTGATTAATCATTGCAAAAGATAGTATTAAACACTTGTGTTTAGTTGATATTTCATTTCACAATGTTGTTTGTGAAAAAAGGTCTAAAGAATTAACTCCTCCTATGCCATGTATCTGGTCCAGGTCATGTTAATTAGGTTATTACCAATTACTGCTATATGCATGTGGAGAGTACTAACAAAAATATGATAAACATTTCAATAAATGTATATACTTTACTACTAATTGCAGGGTTTTTTTCTCTGAAGTTGTTTGACTATAAAGCAGGTATTACATTGTACTTGATCTGGTTTAGAAAGGTCTGAAGACACTCATGCCTACACTTCAAGATTGTTCATTGGCAGGTTTCCTATTTGTGTCTGGATAAACACACGTTTGCACAAGATCTCCACAAAAACAAATGATGATGGAGAATGATGGAGAGCATTGCCTCGACCAGTCAAGTGATAACAGCATTTAGTATAACTTGATATAATTGTGTTAGCTTGTACAGCATGTCCTTGACTCAGCTACGGTCCAGTGTTAGTAAAATAATTAGCTGTCTGCAGGTGTGTGGATAAATAAATGCTGTGTACAGTCAGCCGGGGTCAGTGATTAGCTAATGTACAGTCAGCTTTATGAGCTAGCCCTCCTGTTAGCATCGGCAGTTAGCTTACCCGGTGATGCTGTTAGGAGGCAGAAAATCAGGCTCGACGTCGGTTGCGGTGAACAGCAACGTCCCGGAGGCTCCGAATCACCGCGGGAGTCACATTCGAGTGGTGGAGAAGTGACATGCGGGCGGCCCGGTGTTCATTCATTCACGGACGGACGGTAGTTTGTCGCTGTCGGTCGTCCTCCGGTTCAAACAGACACACAGCAGCAGCAGCGCGTGCAGGATGTGGTAGAGCATTCTCAGCGGTGACGTCGACACCTCGGTGGCTGACGTTTCAAGAGGGACGAGTCGCCCCCCTGCGGCAGAAAGGAGGAACTGCAATAACATCACGGTCGGGTATTACTGGATAATATTACTGTCGTGTATTTACTGTAGTGTATTACTGGATACATTCACTGTAGAGTATCACTGGATTAAATCACTGTAGTGTATCACTGTACTGTATTACTGTGTAATAGTACTGGAGTTCCTCTATATTAATGTTTAATATTATAAAAATATTATTAGTTAAAATTATTGTAGTCTTTATATTACTGTACAATATTACTGTAGAGTATGACTAAACAATCACTGTATAACAACACTGAATAGCTTGACTGTAGAGTATCCCTGGATAAAATCACTGTTGTGTATGACTGTACGGTACTACTGTACAAAATTACTGTAGTGTATCTCTATTAATGTATACTATTACTGTAGTATATCACTTTATATAATCACTGTATAGCGTCACTGAATAAAATCACTGTGCTATATTATTGTCTAATATTTCTGTGGTGCATCTATAATACTATATAATAACTGTACTGCATCTCTCTATACAATCACTGTAGTGGATCAATGAATAATGTCACTGTTGTGTATTACTGTACTGTGTTACTGTACTATATCAATGTACAATATTAGTATAGTGTATCTATTTTACTTTCTATGATTACTGTAGTGTATCATGCCATATGATTTCCTTATTAATCATGGTATAACATGACTGTACTGCGTCACTGTGAAACATCACTGTATAATATCACTATAAACACACTGTTGTGTATTGCTGTACTGCATTACTGTTTAATATTTCTGTAATGTCTTACTGTACTATATTATTGTATAATGTTACTGTCGTGTGTCACTGTACTTGCGCTTTACAGTATTCTTACAAAACTAGTGTATTAGATATGCATGACAGTCTGGGTTGGCTAACTATCAGGCAGAGATCAATCCATGTTTTGTTAAATTTTGTCACAAATATTCTGTTGATGCGATCTCCAAAGATATTGCATGAAAGGCTATTGTCTCAGTTTGCTCAACATGATTATTGAACATGATTCGTAGAACAATGAGGGTTTACTCTACCTAAAGCATTAACAAGTGTAATGCAGAAAACAGTCATGTACAGAGCCATGGTTAGGTGGAATTCACTACCACTGTATTTAGTTCAAGAGGATACTAAAGATCGTTTCAAAATTTTGTTGAAACAATATTTACAAGTTTTTGAGAAGGTATACACAAGGAAAATGGTGTTTCAAAATAAAATATAATGCTTGTGAGAGCAAAGAATGCAAAATGTACTTTCACTCTGTTTTCTTGGATTTCAATTGGTCGAAGTACAGGATGGATAAATATGCTCTTTAAGGTCATTCTGATTATTTATGTTTATGATGAAGAATCATGAGTTCAAGATTAATAATGATGGATTTAATTCTGTGTACGATTTAATGTACAGTGTACTGAATGACAACATGTTTCTCTACCTTATTTTTGTAAAATTAACGAGATGAGCTGTTATGTTGGTTGTTTGTGGCTGTTGTGTGTATAAGTGTAATTGTGTGTATGTGTACCCCAAGAAGAATAGCCAATGCTTATGCTAATGGGGATCCTAATAAACGAAACAAAGCGGAACCAAACTAAACTAAATCACTGTTTAATAAAAAAAATATTATATATCACTATATAACATCACTGTATAATATTACTGTATAATGTAACTGTATAATATATCTATATTCATCACTGTATAATTTCACTATTTATTTTATCACTGTAGTGTATCACTATATAACATTACAGCATATTTTCACCATGTGATATCACTGTATAATATCATTGGGGTGTATCATTTTATAATTTCATGGTATATTACTGTATCACTGTATAACATGACTGTAGTGCATCACTGTCCTTCAAGAAAAAGAAAGTCTGCCTCCGCCATTGCCTTGACCACAATCACAAAGATAGGTTCGGTGGGGACAAAAACGGGTAAACTTCTGTTATAAGATACTAAAACACAGTGTAGCTCCAGTCTGACTGACAATCAGGACACATCTCACTTGTTTGTGCTTACATACGCATTTTCCAAGCTGTCAGGTCATTAAGTGTGAGTTGTGTTTATACAGTGTGAATTATTATCCCATAATAACTCACCCTTGAAGAGGTCAAATAATGGGCTCGTCCGGGATTTGAACCCGGGACCTCTCGCACCCAAAGCGAGAATCATACCCCTAGACCAACGAGCCACGCTCATAGGTTGCAAGGCTTCATGTAAAATCCCACAAATGATCTAATCTTTCATTTTTGTGTCCACGTTCTTTTCTTGTGGCGTGGGTGTGATTGGGAAACAGTACACTTGTGTTCGGCATCGGTCGTATGTTATGTGGACGACTCACACCACAGTAAAAGCGCAAGGCCGTCTGGAGGAAGATAGCGCATGCGTGGTGAAGAAAATTGCCGCTCCTGTCCATGACGTTTTTATTTTATGATTTTTAGTTTTCAAAATATACCTAGAGACACCTAAAACCAAGGGCAGAAAAAAAAATACACTTAAAAAAATGAATCTCGACAAAACAAAATTGCAAATCGTACAGAAGCAATTATTTTTCAATGTCTTATATTAAATCCAGCAACCTAAAGATATTCATCTTCAGGTAATAGAGCAGTAAAAACAAAACAAAAAATAGAAAATATACAAATTCAAGAAGCAGAAATCAGAGAATTCAGATTTTTGTTTTTGTTTATAAAATTACTCAATTGATTAATAAATTATTAAAAATCCTTAAATGTCTTATCTAATGCATGGACTAGATCTGTATAACAATTTACAAATCTATCTGACGATAGACGATCTTTTTTTTCTACAGAAAAAAGAAAACTTTTATTCTGAAATATACTGAAGAATATGAATGAAGTGCTACAACACCCCATTAAGACAGCCATGCTAAACATATATATGTATATTATATTAACATTCACTTTGGTCATCATCTGTTGTGATTGATGCTCAAGTTAGGTTTAGTTTCATGAATTATGTACATGTATTTATTTATTACTTGTAGCGTGTTTTAACCAACAATAAATAATGAATGCTGATCTGTGAGTGACTGTTTAATTTTTCTTTTCGATAAATGTTGTGCATTTCGTTTACTACCGTCTGATTCACTTTATAAAATCTAAAATACATTTAAAAACAAGGCAAACCATCTCATTGCGGCCTTTGTTTATTTATTTATTTTCATTTAGAACCAAACGTGTACAAATAGAGACTATAATTCAAATACATATAAAAAGAAAGTCAATCAATAAAAACAGGAGAGGTAATACATTCATATTAATGTAATTAATTGAATATAATTGATATCGCGATACTTCCACAGGCGGACGTCGCTTTGATTGCGGAAGTGCACAGATGCTGTTGTAGCTCAGTGAAGCTGCCTGTCTGCTTCTAGCGACTGTAATTTCATCCCGTTTTCATCCAGCTGCATGTAGCTTCTCTGGGAGCTTCAGTTTCACGGCTCGATCAGGTAAGCGTGAACTTACCACGGTGGTTATCAGCTGGTTAACTGTTTGAAACTCGTAGTAGTCGATTAGTTATCGTTAGCTAAGTTAGCGCGGCTAATGCTACGCCGCTGGGAGACATCGATCACTTCAGTGACAGCGACAGATATCAGGATACCAGGAACCTGTAACGAGTAGGCTTATTTTCGTGACACCGACAACAGTTCAGTGGAAGGAGAGGTTTCTAAACTAGGTCAAATTAATACGGTGTCGCTCACTAGTGGATCTGAAAAAGGCCCATAGCTTCGCATTTAGTCACTTTTACCCACAGACTGAACAACAGGCGTTGTTATGATCTTTGGAGGCAGAACCCAGCCCAGCAGTCTTCGGATTTCATTCTGATAAATGCACCATTTTCAGGTTATTTCAGATTATCATGAGTTTAACGTGTGACACGCTGAGTTTAAGGCAAAGCAAGGTCCTCCCACTTTGTTTCTATGTGTTTCATATTAACATTAAAGGGAGAGCAGATTAGCTAGATCAGTCAAAGTTTATTTCAGAATGATTTATAGAGCTGTAATTGTATGTAAATGTGCCTGGGAAATACTTGTTTTCATACATTTTACTTAACAGTACTTTGAGTGACAGTTTACCCATGCATTTTAACAACAATATCCCAAAAATATCAGTAATAATAATCAGTGAATCTGCTGCCTCAGTCCATAATAATGACTTATTTAACTACAGCAACTTACCATATAATAATAAAAATAAATCACAATGATTTATTGATGAGCTGTCAACTATTAAATCAACTGATAATCGATTAATCACTTCAGTCTTTTTTACGATAAAAAGTCTAAAATGTCTGATTTCAGCTCCTCACATTTAAATATTTACTAATTTCTTTACAGTAAACTAAAAAATGTTTGGATTGTGGACATCACAAGACATTTGAGGATGTCATCTTGGCCTTTGGGAAAGACTGCTCAATATTTTTCCCCGTTTCTGTCATTGTATAGATTGAAAAACTAATCCATTAATTAAGGAAACAACAGATTCATTGACAGTAATAAGTATCATAGTTGCAGGGCTGGTTGCAGGTTAAGGTTGGGTGAATATACTGTTGAATACTTTAATATAAAACAATGAATCATATTTGATAACTTACTCATATGTTGTATATATTAAATTTGGATCATTAATGTTAGAAGTAACTACATCTGTCAGGTAAATATGTCAGAGTAAAAAATGAAGCATTTCCTTCTGAAATCTACTGCAGTGGAAGAGTGAAGCGGGATATATTGAGACACTTGAGGAAAGTACAATAAAAATTGCACATAAGCATACTACATAATGATGTTCAGTGTAGTCATCAGCTATTGAAGTTTTACCTTCCTGATTTGATTATATCTATTTGTCACATGTCCTAAGAGATAGCAGAGAAGAACACTTCAAGTGATACAAATCACTGCTGACTTATTATTTACTCTAAATGGCAACCGTAAGTGTCCAGTTTTGTTGGCTAAACTGAGGCTACAACTGTTTAGGCTGTCAACACTTTAAAAGACAAAGAAAGTAGATAACAGCTAAGTCCAGCCCTGTCTTTTTATCAGTGCCACACCTCTGGAGCTGAACTGTTAACAACTGGTCCCTTCTTTACATAATGTGGGCTGCGCCTGCTGGCCAAGGAGCTGTCATGGCTGAATCAATACGCGCCATCTGACCATTAGTCAGCATGCTGACATGCTCACATTCATCCGAATTTGATCAATAGAGAAGAGGAGAAAACCTCAAGTCAAACCAAATGAACCCTCCCAGCAGAGTCATCATTGCTTTTTTTATTTCTACATATAGTCAGTCAGTGATTTTCAGATTCAGTTGTGGCCTCAACACCGGCTGTGAAGAGAGGGACACTACCTCTTTGTGTTAGTTAGTGCAGGACACTCTGTCTTACACATTTACTGAATTAATGTACTTAAAGCACATACACATACTTTCCAGCGATGTCATTGAGTATTCATAACAAGTCCCTTTTTCATGTCAAACATTACCAGAATTCCACCTCTGATATATTTGTTTTTGAATTTTTTACTGCCAGTAAGTTTCCTTGGAACTGGAGTGCTTGCTGAGTCATACGTCCATATAAGTAAAGATTTTGGTCTTTAGTGGATGATTCTTGCTTCTAAAATCTGAATCTTTTTCTGGTTCATTTCCTCCTTTATGACTGTAAACTGAATATCTTTGACTTGTTGGCAAAACAAGACATTTCAGGGACACCACTTTGGGCTTTGGGAAACATTGGTTGACATTTTTCACCATTTTCTGACATCTTTATAGAACAATCAAATAATTGAGAAATTTATCAACACTGAAAAGAGTCAGTTGTTTCAGGCCCAGTCACAGTGAAGAAATGTCAGAAAACATTGTGCTGTGTGGCTCACACAGTATGGGAAGTCATAAAGACTATCAGAATGTATCATGACAGATGTATGTTATGTTGTTTGCTACGGATGCTTAAAGGGTCAGACAACCTTTTTTTCTTGTTTGCTCCTAGAGATATCTAGCTATTCAGATAGTTTTAGATTTTAAAATAGCCAGCTGAGAATGGTGTGGTAGGAGATTTCTGTAGGTCTAAAGATTGTATAGGCAGTTAGCTTTTTTTCTAGATAAGAGACATTGTTGTTTAGATTTTCAGAGGCCATTTTTGACTGCTTTGGGCTTCATTGGGGTGGTGGCAAAGAGACAGCTTATTCACATATAACACTGAAACACTGCTTCACAGTCTGTCTTGCCCTTTATAGGAAATCCATCCATCCATCCATTATCTATACACCGCTTAATCCTCACTAGGGTCGTGGGGGGGCTGGAGCCTATCACAGGGCTACACTTAGAGACAGACAACCAAGCACACTCACATTCACACCTACGGACAATTTAGAATCACCAATTAACCTCAGCATGTTTTTGGACCTTGTGGGAGGAAGCCAGAGAACCCGGAGAGAACACACGCTGCACGGGGAGAACATGCAAACTCCACCCAGAAAGATTCCGGTGCCCTCACCGGGATGTGAACCGGCAGCCTTCTTGCTGCGAGGCAACAGTGCTACCAACTGCCCCCATGAGGAAATCATGAAACTATAATAATTACTGCTTGTGAATTAATGTAGATATGAATGAATGAATACACAAATGGATTAAACACACAGGATACACACATGTAGATGACATGTAAGACTTACTATGTGAAAAGGTTATGTTTTTTTTGGTCTTTTTTGTGATTCTAGATTTACTGTCAGGCATTTCTAACCAAAGGAGAACTTACAGAAACTTTTTTTTTTTCCTTCGTGTTTTCACTAAGAATTGAGTAAAAAAAATGCAAGAGGATGTTCAACAGTTTCCTGACCGTGACCTGCCTCGGCGTTATCAGCACAGTGTCAACCTGCAGATTCCTCAGTAAGCCATATTAAACCTCCAGCCTGTTTCTCCAGTCTATCAGGTTGAGCTGTCGCGATGGCGGATCACACCGATGTCAGCCTGCCGCCGGAGGAGAGAGTACGAGCTCTGACTAAGAAGGGTAGCTCGGTGGAAGTCAACGACGACGTTCCCCCGCGCCGCTACTTCCGCTCAGGCATGGAGATGATCCGCATGGCCAACATCTACACGGAGGAGGGCAACATCGAGCACGCCTTCGTCCTTTATAATAAATACATCACGTGAGTGTGTTTTTCAGACCGCTTCAGCCATTTTGCGCTGAGTTTGAGGTTCCAAATACATGAATTTGTTGCTTCAAGTTGAGAGGTTTATCCAGTGTCCTTTCTAAAGATTTGCCCTTAAGATTTTCTTTTAAAACATTTTAAATGACTGAATAGTTTGAAAAATTCTTTAAAATTAGAAGGATGTTAACATGACCTTGTGAGTGATGAGAACCAAAGTCTGTGTCAGGGCTGCACAATATTAGAAAAAAACAAACTCAAATCGAGGTATATGGTTTTTCTGTAACATATTATAGAATAATAGAGGAATGTTCACCTGATGACTTAAACAGCTCTATTTGAAAAGAAGTGATTATTTTTGAAATGAATGGAGCGATTTGCAGGGAAGTGCATCCTCATAGAAAAATAAAAAGCTAATTGGAACCTTTTTGATCTGGTGTAAGACTGGCTAAGGCATCCAAAGTATTTTCTTTTCTTTGAATGGCATTCAAATCTGACTTTGCACTCGTCATACAGAGCTTTGTGGTGCTGATTTAAATAGTCAAACAAATGAGTTGTGTTGCCTAATGTGGTGGCAACAACTGCAAAACAGTGTTAACAGAGTGCGTTGTTTTAGTCAGCATCATCTTTTTTGTAGCCGAATTATTTCCCTACAGCTGAGTTTGTGTTTCTTTTGGCAGTCAAATCTTCCTTTTCAGTGTTTCTCTTCTGTTCCTCGCTTATTTTGCTGTGCTCATGTGGATCCTGCATGTCAGCAAATTCTGTCTCTTAACTAAAGTTAAAGATGAAGAACCCTGAAATCAGAGGAAATTCTTCTATCAGACAGACTTCTCCTGTGGATTAGTCAACAGTGCAAGTTTTCTGTTTTGTATCGCGCAGCAACACATGATGTGCTTTACATCACATTGTCCATGCTGAAGCGATATACTGTTCTGCCTCAGTTTGCATGGTCTGGCAATTTTCAGAATTTAAATTTTCGACAAACCAATATACAAACAATCATCAGGTAATGATCAGACTTTTATTTCTCTTCACTTAGGCTCTTTATAGAAAAACTTCCCAAACATCGGGATTACAAGACCGCTAACATTCCTGAGAAGAAGGACACACTAAAGGTGCTCATTCACTGTTTTGTAATTTCCTGTACAACGGATTTGTGTTTAAGTGTCGGTTTAACATTTACTTCAATCTGATTCTTCTACAGAAACTGAAGGATGTTGCATTTCCTCAAGCAGAAATCCTGAAAAAAGGTTTGCTGAGAAGATTTGAACAGGAATATGCGCAGTATCTTGTTAAAAAGGTGAAATTATTCCCTGTTTCATGCATTTACAGTTTGACTTACCGTCCTGACTCCTGGTTTTAGGTTATTACATTGACACGCATTTTGCAGCAGATCAGGTTTAATTCTCTGAATTCCAAAACATGCCAGCAGGTTTGGATGGCAGGTTGTCTTTAAATTATTGCAAATTAATCATAATTAGATACAGTAAAAAGAGAAAAAACAGTCAGATTTTCAACTTTTCCAACAGTTCTCAAACAACTCATCTCTGATACGCTGTTCCATCAGAATAACTGACTAAATTGGAGCTTAAAATCATGGTATTAAAACAAAACAAACCAGAAAGTGATTGGAGTCCAGCTCAAGTGTATGACATTAGAAGTAATTTATAAAACCGCACATGCATTTAGAGTGCAGAGAGCACAGTGTCCTGTGTTTACAGTGTATTGTCGACACTGTATGTTGGTGAAACATTAACCAGCATCAAAGAGCTGCATACCACAGTTCATTAATAAACACCTGAACAGAGACACAGTAACACTGTCAATAAACAGTCACATTGACTGAGACAGATTCTACATAAGCTCACATGCTACATGAACTGTAGAAAAATAAAAACTGCATCGAAGACCAGAATAAGAACAAATTTCAATGCATTTGTTTTGTGAACACATGGTGAGGGATCACCTGCTGCAGCTAAACCTGTGTGTGATGTCTGCCTCAGAAAGCGGAGGACGAGGCCTTGGCGCGGGAGCAGTCCAGGCAGCGAGCGCTGGACGTGGAGCGAGAGCGAGTGGCCGAGATGCAGCGGCGCCAGCGGGAGCAGGAGCAGTTCAGTGCCTTCGAGGAGATGATCCGCCGCCAGGAGCTGGAGAAGGAGCGCCAGCGAGTTCTCCTGGAGTTCGCCACGCCAGCCGCGCCTTCCCCCGACACGCCCCTCATTCCAGGCATCCAGGGCCCGCCGCTGGTGTCCCCGACCCCCCCGCAGAGCCCCGGTGACCTCTCCGGCAGCAACAACCACCAGTACAATCGGGTTCCCGCCTCCACACCTGGGAGCGGCCCGCCCACCTTCGACCGCTCGCTTAAGCCCGGCTCTCTGGTCAGCCCAGGGAACAACAGTGAGTTAATGTTCCTCCTGACGCCAGGGGCCGGCGCTCAGAGGATTTAAATGCTGCCCTACGCCTGCGTTAAAGTGTTTAGTCTTCTGAGCTGCTTTCTTTCCCCCCTGACCCACTTAATTTCCTGTTTGCACCATGCCTTGTTTCAGAACATCACAAGAATCTAACTTTGCCATTCAGCTTTTGTTCACGTCTCTTCATGGTTCTTCCAGATACAATGGTGGATGCCCTTCGGCAGTTGGCCGTCCCCGCTGAGCTGTGCCGGAGCTTTCTGAGGCTGGCCGAGGCCAACACAAGCCGAGCTGTAGAAACTTGTGGCATCCTGTGTGGCAAGCTGGTAAGACTCAGAACAAAGCGGCTGTGTAGCACCAGCAGTACTGACTCTCATTATGAAAGGATTTGTCACAGCAATCAAGCCATTACTATAAACGATAGTAAAATGTTTCTCATCGTGCCTTTAAGTCAGGAGTTTTAATCATGAATTAAACTGCACATTTGCCACAACCAAAAGACAGAACTTCACAGTGCTTCAAGATGGACTCTGTGATACTGAATTATCAAGCTATGAATCTTGTTGGAATGTGGATTTAGCTTTTAATTTAAACCGAGACATCAGCTGACCTGCCACCACTGGGTGTTGGAGGATAATCTGACATTTCTCTCATTGTCCCACAACTCCTGTGGCTTTTCTTTGAATTATATCATTTGCTGGTGGGTTTAGCCGAAAGCTCTTTTTAATTTTTTATGAGCATGACGGAGCGATTTTTGCCAGCAGCAGGCCGGTCCCAGTTAATTTTGTTCTGTGTCCTTGGATAACATTTTGGCCTACAGCGTGCGATGCATAATTTAAAGGAGTGTAATAGTATGACGCTTTCTGTGTTTGTTCCAGACCAGAAATGCGTTTACTGTGACCCACGTCATCGTACCAAAGCAGTGTGGTGGACCCGACTATTGTGACACAGAAAATGAGGAGGAACTCTTCCTCATACAGGACCAGTACGATCTCATCACTCTCGGCTGGATACATGTGAGTGAAAAATGGGAAGATTCGGGTCTGAGCTGTCTAACATGCATTTGTCTGAACCGCAAAATCAGCTGTCTTGAGGAGGAAACCCCCCTCTACCTTAACTCCTGCTCCTCCTAGTTATGATATTCTCATTGCTGCTACACTTGAATTTGATTGAAGAAACCTAAAATCACTGTCACTAATTATGTAATGATTTTGACCAAATCTGAGCTTACAATTGTAGTATTTTGCAAAAATCACTTGATTCCACCTGCCTCATTTAAAAAAAAAAGAAGCCAATAATAAACAATTTGCACCACATTCTCTTTTTAAAAAAAATAAAATAAAATCTGTGTTTCCGGGTGTAACTGGGAAGCTGTGACGGAAATGTATGCATTATTTGGTTCAACTGTAGGCTGTGAGCAGAGAAGGGACAAGCTTCTAAACAAATTAGAGCGCTTCAGAGCAAAATAAAACATACTTAAGCAATAAAATAAATGTAAATAAAAGGTTCTACAGAGGAGCAAGTTGTCAGCACGTTATTGGAAGATACATTCAGCATCTTTCTTTCTTTCTAACTTTCGTTCTAACTGTGTCCTACTGCACAGAAGAACGTTTTGAGTTCTCTCTCCTTCTAGTCATGGTTGTTTCCATAGAGGTGCAGGACTTTATGTTGCAGTGAACAATGAGCCCACAGTGACAACACTGTGAGCAAAATAAGCCTAAACACAGAGCAGTGTGACATAATTCACTGTCACAATGTTAGGAGGAGTATTTTTTATATATTAAGATGCATTACAATATAGAGTTGTATGCAAAATCACTCAGAATATCATTAGGATTTTGTAAATATAAATTGGTGTTTAGTACTAGAGTCCTGCGCTGGACTGTTTTCTTAAACCTGCTTATGTAATGTGTGATTTCTGTCTTACCTCTTCTCACAGGTGTTGTTTTACTGTATAGGGTTTGTAAAGAGATAATAACTGTCTGTAATAACTTAGGAAAGTTAAAATCACACTAATGAGAACTATAGTGCAGTAATGAGGCTCCACGTTTCAAGCATTTCTCCGTAGGATCTTGTTTCATATGTGCTGGAAGAAGTGCTTTGTGTTGTAATAAGAACCACTTTGACATCAGAGAATGAAGCCCTTTAAACATCAATGATTCTGTTTGAAGTTCAGTTTAAATCCAAGTCAGAAATTGGTCCAAATCTCAGACTTTGTTTTGCTTTTGTATTGAAAAAAGCTGCTTTAATCTTCTTTTCAACTGCATCCGTTGACTCCATCCTTCTGGTATTCAGTAAAGATTTCCAGTCTTTTACTGGTTATAACTGGTTGTGACCAAATTTGACAAACACTAATGTACGGTGCAGTTAACGATATTGAAGTAATAATTATTAACCAGACCTGGTAGCCACAGGGTGAGAGTTATGATAGAAAATTTGCATTGTGCTCTGGTTGAGTGCTTATTTTTCATGTTCATGTGTATTTTTAAGCACGATAACTATACTTGTACCTTTAATTTTTATCATTGTGGTGTTAGTGAAGCATGCTGCAGGCAATTTAGACAAATTTGCACAAAAAATATGGTTTGAAGTCACACAAGAATAAGTAAAACGATATAATAGCAAAGTGTTTGTACGCTATATGCCAGTAGACCACTAAAGTCTTCTCACTGCGTTTTCCAGACTCACCCCACTCAGACGGCCTTCCTGTCCAGCGTCGACCTCCACACTCACTGCTCGTACCAGATCATGCTGCCCGAGGCCATCGCTATCGTCTGCTCGCCCAAGTTCAACGAGTGAGTCAGAGCCGCTGCGACCGTCCCGTCACTGTAAACGTTACTCCCACCGTGAGATGCCACTGTGCGCTTTGTTAAGTTTCTCTGTGTGCGATTGTGTTTGTCCCAGAATCGGCTACTTCAGGTTGACGGATCGAGGGACGGAAGAGATCTCCACGTGTAAACAGAAAGGTTTCCACCCTCACAGCAAAGATCCTCCTCTATTTACAGTGAGTGCACCGACACTCTGAGACACACAAACATATATCAGTGTTAGTTTCCTGTTTGTAATTATTGCTGCAGCTAATGAATATTTTCCTTGTTTATTATTTTGGCAATTATTTTCTCGACAAGTTGTTTTGTCTACAAAATGCCATAAAATGGTGAAAAATGTCTTCGTTTTGTCCAAAGATATTTAATTTACTGTCACTTAGGAGGAAAAACAACAGAACACATTGGCATTAAGAAAGCTGGAATCAGAGGATTTAGAATTTTTTTCCCCTTAAAAATGCCTCAAACCAAATAATTAACTGGCAAAATATTTTCTGATGAATTTAATAGATGACAACTAATTGATAAATCACTTCATTGTTGCTGCTCATATCAGTTGCAGGGTTGCAGCAATAACTTCAACATCACAAAACATACGTAGCTTCAATTAAGTTGACATAAGGTAGGAAAGGAAAAAAAAAATATACATTTGCATAAAAATATTTTTTTGAATAAGAATATAACAAAAACTTATTTATAATAAGGTAAGTTAGGACCCTGACAGTGCAAATATGTGCTATAAAATCATCTTCTACAAATGAAACCAGAACATTTTTACATTTAAGAAGCCAGAATCACAGGATTTAGGTTTTTTTTTTGTTCTTATAAAATGACCCAAACCAATGAATCAAGTATCAAAATAGTTTAAATAGTTGCATATGAATTTAATAGCTGACAACTAATTGATAAATCACCTCATTGTTGCTGCTCGGATCAATTGCACGGTTGCAGCAATAATTTACACATCGTAAACACACGTAGCTGAAATTAAGTTGACATCAGGTAGAAAAGGAACATTTTAAAACTATATACGTGCATGTTCATAAAAAATACTTTCTTAAATAACAAAAAAAAAACCAACAATAAAATAGAATAAAACATATTTAGAATAAGATAAATTAGGACTCTAACAGTGCAAATAAAATCATATTCTACAAATAAATCCAGAATATTTTTACATTTAAGACGCCAGAATCACTGGATTTTTTTGTTCTAAAAAAAAATGGCCCAAACCAACAGATCAAGTATCAAAATAGTTGTGACTGTACCACATTACTGCTGCTTGTGGTTACAGCATTACTGCCAGGAGATGAGACGTGTTAAAGTCTGATGTTGTTCCTCTTTTCAGGGAATTCAAAAGAAAAGTGTCACATGTTCCCACAGTGTGTCTTTCAGTTTTTCAGCTCAAAATACTGCAAAGTTGATTTATTTCACCATGACTGTGTAACGCTTTGTTTTAAGGCTGTTTTAAGTAAGCTCCTGTTGTTCCCACCCTCCTCAGGAAGAAAACTCTCTCTGCATCTGTGATTGACAGTTTGAACTGCTGCTTAGTCAGGTGTCATGTAGCACCTGGGTTGAAATCTTGCTGGTTTAATAAGTTAGCTCGGAGGGTAATTTATTATCTGGGGGGGCTTGAAGGATGCCAAACGTTGATATCTTTTATTTCACAGCTCCAACTTTACAACAACCACAAAACACAATAAAAATGGATTTTTGACTTGGGGGACCTGTAATGACTTTCTGCCAGAGAAAACAACAAAACACTGCTTTCATTTCTCTCTGCTTAAGAGAATATTTGATGTGAGGACTGCCGTTGTAACCGAGCTGTGATTCTTGTTTCCAGCACGCCGGACACGTCACCATCACCGACGACACCGTGTCCATGATGGATCTGCGGTGATTCATTCCTCGTTCGCCAGAACACTCACAGACTGTTTTATCAAACTTGCAGCTGTTTTACTGGAGAAAACACTCATTTTACTTTCAAGGACGGTACTGAGCTGACGCCGGCCACGAGTTTACCATTTATATGGACTTCAGTTGTTCTCAAAGGGAACGACGTTTGTTTTTTTTGCTCTGTAAGAAAAGAAATTCCACATATTATTGCACTTTCCAAGCAAACAAATACTATCCACTTCAATGGACTGGCAAACCTCTGGCTCTTCAACCCCTCTGTTCGTGTCAGTACGTGGTGTAACTCGTTCCTGTTGTTTTTTTTTGTCATAAATAAATCTGTACGTCCGGTAACCCAACCTTTGTTCCACGACTGTCATCAAAGTTTGGTTCTGCCTGACTGATAAAGTGCCAAGGATGAGAACATCTGCGTGTCGTTGAGTTGTTCACTGTGTAACATGAAGTCCAGCGTGAAGTGTAGAGTTTGTAATTAACTCTGTGTTCCCTTTTGACTCGGTGTGTTTCCGTCATTAGCCGTTGAAGTGCTACGAGTGATGAGAGAAGTGAAAGCCAGTTGTAACTCAGGTATGCAGGCAGTGCTGTTGCTGCTGCTGCTCTGTATTATATTTTTTATATACCATCACTCCAGAGTCTCCTTTATCTCAAAAGGGTTTTCTTCTTTCTGACATTGAATTCCTGCTTATGATGGATCCACCTTTTTACACTGTTTTATTTTCTTCCTCTGTGTGTTTCTTGGAGGGGGGAAAGCGGGTCGGTAGCACCTGATCAATGTGTCTCTCTGCAGAGGACATGTGTGCAACGGGAAATCTGAATGTACCTTCTGCTACACAGCACTAACCACCCGGCCATGGTTCATGCCTCTAACCATCTTTTTGTTTGCTCCCTTCTCTTGTTAGAAGAAGTAAATGATTAGCCATAACTACAAAGTAAATGCCAAGACAAAATAAAATCTTGTAGATGAATTTATTCAGCATTGTTTCCTTTTATTTGTCCACGTGAGAGAGAGAGAAAGCAGAAATAACAAAGTGTAAAAATTTAAATGAATATGATGGATTGCTGTAATGGCCGTTTAGTGTAACGAGCATAATTAATAGGACTTGGAAACAAATGCAGCATTCGCACTTTTCAAGGTTTTTTTTTTCTGAAGGAATCTGTCACTTTTTTTGAGCTAGTTTTTTGTATGAAGAACATAAAGGTTGTTTTTATGTATATGTATACTATGTGTTTGAGGAGAAAGTACAATAATAAATTTATGGCAAAATCTCAAAATTAAGGGAAAGGCAATTACAAGATGTAGGTAATAACAGTGTTTTAAGTTTGAGCCAGCGATGAATCATACATCTGGTACACTCTGATACAGGAATCCAAAAGTTGCTGTTTTAATCACAAAAATCCTATATTGTAGCTATTCCTGCCATTTCTAACATAATATTTATCACTACCTACTGCAGAATTCTTCACTTTCAGTGTTAAAGTTTGCTTTTTTATAGAAATTTACCAATTTTGTTATTGTTTCTTTCTTTTTTTCCGAGTCATAATTTTAGAAAGCATGACCTACAAGATGGTGGGGACAAAAGAAATCCGTGGTTTCATTCAGTTTGGAGCTGCTTGCATTTTCTTGCAGGTGTAACTACCTTATAATAAAAATACAACCGTATTCGTCATGCTTAAAGTATAAATGTAATATCGAAGCAAAACAACTGAGCACTTGTGATAGTGGACTATTTTGTTGTGGAAAACAATCCCAGATGTGTTACAGTAAATATAAAGTCAAAAAGAAAAAAATCTTAAGTTTATTATCATGTAGTTACACACGCTTGATAATAAGCTTTCAGCGTCGATGCTCCGGTAATGATTTCAATACCTAATCGTAATGCTACGCTTATAACCCCCACAACATCTCTCATAAATAAACAAATATTTAAAATATATAAAGGTGTGGTACAAGTATGGCTGCACTGCGCCAGTCTGCCTGTTGGTGGCAGCAGAGCGCCGTTGTTACAAATGAGCGCTTTTAATCACAACGACGATAAAGAACATAAACAAGAAGTCCCGAAGAGGCTAACAGCTAGTGTGGTTTTCTGTCGTTTTCGTGTTTTGTTTTACTCTGAATAATCTTTGAGACCAACACAAGAGCTCAAGATGGGAAAGCGACAGCACCAGAAAGACAAAATGTTAGTACCAGAGTTTTCTGCACCTCTTGAACGTTGTTATTTTAGCTAGCGTCAGCTTGAAGCTAGCTAGTTAGCTTCCTCATGTTAGCTCTTTTCTGGCGTTAGTTAAAGTTTAGCGACTTTAATTTAAGAAATGTGTTTTCTCTTGTTTACCTGTGTTTTTTTTTCTCTTCACAGGTACATCACATGTACAGAATACACCAACTTTTATGGAGGGAAGCGGGCAGGTGAGCTGTGTGTTATCCTTCTCCATCGTTCACATTTTCTGCTTTAGCTGTTGTCAGGTTGAAAACAACTCAACAGCTACAGAGTTAGTGTTCTGCTTGTTTATATGTTGTTATAATTTTACTACACTGTACTTACTGGAGACCACAGTGGATCTTCGTTTCCCTATTTGCCAGTTTATTAGGCACTCCTAAGTAAAAGCAAATGCAGTTTATTACAGCATAACGACACTGTGGCCGAGTGTTTTCTTAAAGGGTTTTGTTGTTTTCTCTAGTTTTGTACCTGACCTTAGCGTTTAAAGTGCCCTAAGATCACTATTCCTAATTTGTTTAGTCCCTTATATCTGCAGTTTTTTGCTGTTATATTGTCAAAACCTTAATTTGCTGACTCCATTCGTCTGGTTGCAGTAAAGATTTGCAGTTTTGGATAGTTTATCTCAAATGCAAAGCACACTGGGCAACTTATTTTTAAATGTGTTACACAAATAGTGGGGGCTTGATTTGACTTTAATAACTCTTGGAGGTTATCATGTTCAATTTTGGTCGTGCTGCAGCAATTCATCGTTTAGTTGTCAATCATTAAACTAACTGTCAACTAGTTTGATAGGTGAGTTTGACTAATTTTTAATATTAAAAAGTCAAAGTTCTCTGATTTCAGATTTGTATATTTGAGTATTTTCTCGCTTGTTTATTCCTCTATGACAGTAAACTGAAATCAGCATTTTATGGGATGTCATCATAGGCTTTGGGAAACAATAATCAGCCTTTTTCCACCATTTTCTGACATTTTATAGATGAAACAACAAATCAATTATTAAAAAAATTAAAATTAATGGATAAATTGAGGTCAGTATATTTTCTAGTTGCAGCACTAGTTTTTGCTGAAGATATCTCAGAGAGCCATTGAACTTTGTGGGGTTTTTTTTAGGCTGTAGTTTGCATAGCTGTTGAATTAGTTTTTTAGAGTAATATTTTGTCCACTATATTCTTATCAATAGGAGTAAATTCTACTAACCACAGCCTTCAAAATGACTGTAACGTCACCAAAAACCGACCAGTTCTAATAATCATAAATTAATTGCAGGATCAAGTTTTTTTATGACAGTTATTTGTGACCTGGCATAAAGACATAAAATAGTCCAGTAATACACACACATAAAACAGTGATTTGATAAACCTCATGTTTTTGTGTGGCAGGAATGCTTTTTATTTTGCTTTCCTGTCCCGTTAATAATTTTGTGACTACTTGTTGGGGTCAAAGGCTCTGTTGTGGAAAACACTTAGTATTATTTTTACCCCGGCACAAGGGCACTGGATTTATTTCAGAAGCACACAGGGACGTGTGTGTGTGTTAGTTTCCATGTGTGAGATGGTGGATAGCTTTTTGCTCAGTTTGTTGGTGCTGCGAACAAGACATCAAGGTCATACCATTAAATTTTCTGCTTATAATGACCACATGAGAACAGAATGTTTGGTCTTTTCCTTCAGGTGATATAAGTCACAGATTCATTAGTTGTACTTTTACAGAAGAGATTGCTGTTGTCCACATGGAGATTTTCCGTGTTTGCCACTTTTTGCAGCAACACATTTTTCTCCTCAGTCAGCAGCAAAGCAGTGAGCATACAGCACCACCAGTAGGGATGTGCAGGTCAGGGTTTTATACCTGCACCTCTTCGACCTATTGGAAGAGCCAATCTGCAAAAATATGTGATAATCAGCCACCTGAACCTAACATGATCCGACCCCCAGCTGCTGCTGTAGGACACAGGAGAGCTGCTTTACTCTCAGGTTACACCAAATTTCCAAGCCTGTATCTGTCTTGTCTCCCTAAAATATTTTCGTTATAGCTGCGACTTGGTCTTTGGTGTATTTTCAGCAGCACAGATGCTATCATCAAGGGATCAAGGATTATAGTCTGGGAATACTAGAGGCAGCAATGTGTTTCTGTAATCCTCTTCCGCAAGTACATGTTGCTATTTGTCGCATAGTCTGCTCGCAGAGAGATTTGTGATAGATAGAAGCTACTTTAAAGTCTAGTAATGCACATTATTATGCCTGGTTTGCCTGGAGACACGTAGGAGAGAAGAGAAGGTGGACCAATGATCACAGCCTCACAAATTGCACACAGTATTATAACTTAGTTGGAAGGCTGCTTTGTCACTTGAGGTGGGACCCACACATCAGTAACTTTGCTGAGGGACATTGCATTGTAGCAGGTTTTAACTGATCGGTATCGGCACAAACTGAGCCCAATCCCTTGTTTAAATGTGTTGTCACACAGGTGTTGAAAATGTACTTAAAAAAAAAAAATAATAGCAGCATTATTGCTCAGTAATTTCAAAGTTGAATTACAAATTGAGCACACCAGACATCTGTCCTGAGCTGCCCCAGTTACATGATACAGGCCAGATGTGATACAGACGGGTGTTAAATATGCCACTGGATTTAGGAACACGATCGTAGTTGAGCCTGACTTGATGTAACACTGCACACTGGGAGGAGGTCATTAAGCATCACAGAAAACTTCGTCATGGTGCCTCTTTACTAGGTAAAGCCCACGATGCTCTTTGTCTGCTAACACAGAACTGTATGTCTCCTCGGGTTGCTCCAGTGTCAAACTGTAAGAGCCTCCATCTGGTGGTGCAAGATGACACTACAGCTGATCTACAATACTTGAAGTCTGTATTATTTAGGAAAACAGTATTGATATGCAGGTGGTAAATGTTAGATCAGATCAGATCAAAGGCAAAAGAAAACTTGATCAGGACATTCCTAGTGTGTTGTTCTTCAGGGTGTTTTGTTATCCTTCGAGTCTCATCTTTGGGCTGCAATAAATACAACCAACCATCAAACTGAATTAACCTGCTCTTATAATGGTCCTCTAAAGTAATCCACAATCGAATTTATGTGTTTAGTTCCCAGAGCCAGCCTCACACTTGTAAACAAACAGAAGTGCAGCCGTGATGCTTCATGTCAGTGATGCAGGACTTTTAAAGAATGTGGGGCAGTAGCCAACAATCACCGTTAGCACTACACTGGGTGTTATAGAGGCTTGTAAAGCTTTTCCTAATTCCATGATCCAATCACTCTTTGTCCACAGTGACATGTAGTTTAATTATGTGCTGATCAGTTTCTGCAAATGTATTAAAAAAAAAAAAAACATATATAAGGAACTGAATACCACTTGACTTTTATTTGGGTTTGCTTTATGTTTTCACTTTCCAGAAATCCCACAGGCGAACTTCAGACGGCTTCCATTCGACCACTGCAGGTAACAGCAATCGCTTTACCATCTCCAGGAGAAACACATTAGATCTGTCAGTGTAGTCCAAGCTGTGATGTGTAACCAGTAGTAAGGTATAGACAGAAATGAATTACATAGATGGGGAAAATCTGCATTTAGACTAAAATTCCTTGTATGTTTTGTGTTTTTGTCTCATGCTGGTTTCCTCTGAAACATTTCAGCTTGTCTCTTCAGCCGTTTGAGTATCCTGTTTGTACTGAGGAGGGAGTCGTCTTTGACCTGCTGTGAGTAGATGGTGCTGCGTTTAAAATAAATCAACTGTTTGGAAGCCAGTCTGCTTGGCTATAAGGGATATTTTGATTGTCAGCTGTCATTGAATATTCATGTGATAATACTGATAGTGCTAATGCACACAAACTAATCAAGTGCCAGTTGTGTTTTCATGCTTGTTTTACTTTGTTACTGGTGAAACTATAAGAATTAATTTGGCTGCTACTTGTCAGACTAAACCAGGTAGTTCCAAGAGCAGATATTTTCATCATAATGCATGTTTATTGTTAGAAACATTTTGGACTGTATATCACAAGCTTTGGTTTCCCTTCTGGTTTGGCCGAAAAGTTCAATTACATCTTCTGTCTTAGGAGCATTGTTCCATGGATCAAGAAGTACGGCACCAATCCGGCCTCTGGAGAAGTAAGCAAACACGTATATTTGTATATTTATCATTTATTTCTCACCATTTCTAAGAGTTGGGTCAGTCGTTTCAGACTGTTGTGCTGCTCCACTATGTCAGATTTTGTTCAGAGTTTACTTACTTGTAGTGTGTTTTGGCTGGACTTTGAGAATGTTTTCAGATCTAGGAATTTTTGTATTTTCATCTTCGTTAAAACCTCTAACCTGAGAAGCCATTTTAAAATAGCAAACAACTATAACCTTGTATTGCCAAGCTCACCATATATCAAATTTTACTGATGTTTAAGAGCCTCTAAAGTTGGTTAAATGTCGACCAAAGACATGCGTACGTCCATATATTTACACTTAGAGGAACTTTCTAGGACCCCAGTATCACGCTTGTTTGGAAATTTTGCAATTTTCTAGCATTTTTCAGGGTCAATAGTTAAACAGTTGAAAACGCTGTGGGAGTCATTTAACCATGTGGACCTGCTGAAAACAATTTTGTTTGTGTCCTCGCCGAATGACAACGCTGTGGGAGTTATTTTGTGGAGAAGCTGAATAAATTTAAATGGCTTCTGAGATAAAATGTTTCATAAATTTAAAATATGGAACATGAGAAAATATGAAATTCTTATAATTCAGCCTAATTTTGTTTTATTTTAATGTAGGTTTTGGCCCTAATTAACTCATTTTATGAGGACTGAACTGAAAATCCAGGATAATAATAATTTGACCTTATCAAATAAGCATAAATTCAACTCTTTCCTCAACTTTTTTTCATTATATGAACAGGTGAAAAAGTCAACCTCCTAATTCATTACTAGACCAGATGTATGAAGTGTCATGTATAGGTTTTATGTAATAATTGGCAAAGAGCTGAATATAAAACACAAGAAATAACAGTACTTAAACATTAGCACTGATTGCAGTTTACACCTTCACCCTCAACACTTCCCTTTTAATCCCCCTTAAATCTCTTTAAATCTCATCAAATTGCGAGATTTAACGTTCATCAGCATTTAAAGAAGCATTTCATATTGGAAACTTGTGTTTTTCTTTCTATTTCACAGAAACTGGAGGCGAAAGCCCTCATCAAACTGAACTTTGCCAAGAACAACGATGGTAAATATGCTTCCGTTTTAATCTGAAGACACTCGGAGCGTAATGAGGTGATCCTACATTTAGAGTTAACCTTACTTTACGAGATCCCCATCATCAAACTCGGCCAGCAGGTGGGAATAAAAAAGGTCAAAGCCACACTGATCTCGCTGCACTGCTGCGTCTGAGGGCAGCTTGAGAGAGAAGATTGGACTCAGAGAGTGTTAGAGGGTAATTTAGGTGAGAGGGGGGGATAAGAGCAAAATAAGGGGAGCGGAGGAGGAAGGTGGGATAATTCAGCAGAGAGCACATTACATGAGGCACTCCTTGACTCCTCGAGATGAGTTTTCACCTCGTGGCAGCAGATTGAGAGCGACTCGGCCGCTCAGCCCGCTGCTTTGCTCTTTTCATTTTCTTCCAGGAAAGTATCACTGCCCTGTTCTCTACAACGTCTTCACAAATAATTCTCACATCGTTGCCAACAAGGTCACCGGGAATGTGTTTTCTTATGAGGTGGGTGAACTCGCGCTCTCTTCTGCCGCATCGATCCTCAAATACAAATACTTCAGTCACACAAGTCGATGTCTAAAATTACACACACAAACACGACACGCACTGAGATGATATTGATTTTGATTTCAGCATGATGCGGGGCAGATGCTCGGCCCACATGGTCTCACAAGATGCTGACTTACATCACACTGAATTACTTGTGTTCAGCAAATGTTTTTCCAAACAAACCAGGGCTCACAGGCTTTCTGAGACCTCGCAAGTTCCTCTTGACCAAGTCGAATCTGAGCTAAAGTAAACAAGCAGAAATCTGTCACATTGCTGTCGAGCTGAAGTTGAAAATGAATCAAGAAGAAACTTTAAATTAACTTTGTTTTACCTTTTTTTTCCCGCTCAGGCTGTTGAGCAACTCAACATCAAGACCAAAAGTTTTAAAGATCTGCTGACCGATGAACCTTTCACCAGAAAGGATCTCATCACGCTTCAGGTGGGTTATTGCTTTTGTGTATTTATTATAGTTTTGCAAAAATGAGCCGGTAAAAATGACCTTTTAATCTAATTGTGACATTTGGTTTGTCTTTGTAGGACCCCACAAATCTGGATAAATTCAACGTTTCTGACTTTTTCCACGTAAAAAACAACCTGAAAGTGTTGGATCCAGGTGAGTAACCAACATGTTCTCTGTTCATTTACTATTTTTGATGTGCTCTTTTTTTTGGCGAGATTCTAATCAGGAATCTGAAAACGCTTTGGTTCATGTGTTTCCTTTCCCCTACCTGGACCTGGTATGCTTCAGATGAGGAAAAGGCCAAGCAGGACCCGGCGTACCACCTGAAGAGCACCAATCTGGAGACCAGGGAGACTCTGGCTGAACTTTACAAAGACTACAAGGGGGATCAGCTGCTGGCTTCCACCATGAAGGAGCCGCAGGCCAAGAAGACGGACAAACTAAACGCTGTGAGTAGAAACATTGCGATGCTCGAGGTGTTGTACACCTGAGAAGATTTTCAGAGATGTGAAGCTATTTTTCTTTCCCGTATGATCTTCCTTCTACAACAGTAAAAGCTGCTTTACCCTTACATGTTGTTTTGGGTTCAATGTGACAGCAGTATAAATACCCTAAAGTCGTTCTTTTAGCCTGAAATTTGATGACTTTTGTACAGGTGCTACAAATGTTTGTGCTCTGAGGCTGTTTGGAGTCAAATGTGACCCGTGTGTCCATTGAGATGGGTTTTAGATCTACCAGTGTGGATCAAATCAAGGAAAATGGTGGTTTTAGTGAATCTGGAAATTGGGGAACTGTTTTATGTATGTGTTTTATTTACATTTATTAATGTGACATGGGCTATTTAGACATTCTAAATAGATCTGTAGTTTAAAATTTGGCATGGACACTTACCATGAGGGAATTCTTGACAGTGTGAAGGCATAAAATATGACCAGTATGTCAGGGTTAAGTAGCTGGATTATTCAGATGACCCCAACACAGCAGCTGTGTTTCCTAAAAGTGTCACATTTGGGAAAAGGTTTGAAGAAACCTTTTTAGTTTGCAAAAAAAGTTTTTATGCTCGCCTGAGGTGTTTTTTTTTTTTTAGAACAAGTTAATGCACTTTATGAGAGATGGAGGTGCCGTTTCTGAATATATTCTGCTGTAATGAAGGTTTAACTCACGTATCCGCCTCTTTTGGTGCCTTTGTTTCTGGATGGCGTGAAACATGGCCGATACTGACATGAAACAACTTGGAGCTGATTGAAAATAGTGTTTGAAGACATTTGGTTTGTTTCTTCTTTAGTTTTTTTTGTGGTTGGAGAACAGCTGGGCTTGTTTCTGGCATCTTCTGCTCTGTTTATTACAGCATGTGTAACATAATCTATATCACAACTTTCTGATGACACTATGCAGCCTGGTTTGTTCACTCGAATGCTGTTAACGGAAACAAGAATAATTTTTCCTTTTATTAAAGTTTGCTTCAAATTTCCACATCTTAAAAACAAGGCTACTGAAATGTCTGATAAAGGTTATTTAGAAAAAATACAAAACCTTTGCAGACAGACTGACAGCTTGCAGTTAAAGTTGTTTTAAAGGCAGTGGGAGTTTGCTGGTTCATGCTGTCTCTGATTTCTCAGATTGCAGCTTCTGTTTGTGTTGTGTTTGAAAAGTTCAGCTTTAAAAATCATTCGTGACCCTTCCTAACTGTTAACAAAAAGGCTTCAATGTCCACTGACTAGCTTTTTCTGAAGCTTTCAATTATACCACATGTTGTCCTTCTTTAGTTGTTCAGTCAAAACAATTTGAATTTCTAAGTAGGACTGAACGGATGCAAAACAAAATTATGTTGCAATTATTTTCACTGATCTTGTGATATGAGTCATGATTTTACTGTTCATGGCTATTTTTTGTATTTCTTTTCAACAACAACAACTAAATATAAAAAAATGATGTAATCCCAAACAAGCACATTCCCTCATGTCTGGAGGAAAGGATTTGTCTGCTGAGGCATCTCTGTCGCACCACGATGCTTCATTTGACATGTTTAACTTTATCAAAACATTGCAAAATTCCTGTTTTTTTTTTTTTTTGGATATTGCACTTGTCCGTGTTCTGATTTATTTTTGATGAATTGTTTGGCCCCTTTTCAGACATCTCAGTTGGTTTGGTGTTTGTGCTGCCGCAGCATTTCTACAAGGTGAGGGAGTGTAGGTTTTTCTTTGTACACAGGAGGGAGCCACACAATTAGCAATACACTGACAGCATCGTTGGCAACGAGACAAACAGCTGCATCCAGAAACAGAACAAAGAATCTCTACAGACATGTGATGAAAAAGAAGTAATGCTTTACATCTACAGTGCAGGAATGCAAGCAAATGTTTAAAAAAAAAAACTTAAAATCAATAACATGCAAAGGTCTGAGTGATTGATAACATGTTTTAAAATATTTAAATATGAAGCATATTTATATTCTTTATTTAAAATCATCTCTGGATGTGTACCGTAACTTTCCCACAGTGCTGCTCTCAGTTAATCTGGTTTTACTGCAGGGGCAACAAACACAGCGACGTGTAACAAAGAAGGTCAGTCGCGGACGCGTTACCGCCGCGGTCGTGTCCTTGAATAAACGCAGAGATGAAGTCTGCTTCAGTCTGAACTGCATCTACACCTTCTCTCTTATCAGCCCTTCTTTGATGCTACGCAACGTCTCGCTTCTTCTTTTTCTTTTTTGCGTTTTCTCGGCTGCTCTCGGGTTCATAGTCGAGGTGACGCTCTGACAGCATCTGAGGGAGCAGGAATTATAGGTCAGACAAGGTAAAGTCTGTGCTTTCATGCGCCTTCACAAGAACTAGAGCAGAAGATTGCTAAACCAGGACTGTGGAGTAGACTCCAGCTCTTGAAATCCACTTTCACTTCTGCGCTTTCGCCGAGTTGCTGTTGTTCCCTTGACTGGAATAACTCCTCCAGTCTCACCACGTTGTTTGTGGCGTCTTTTTAGGTGTATATTACTATTCAAAAAAACTATTTAAGCTCAGAAAACCTTCTTAATTATGCGGTGGAGGAAGTTTCTCCAAGCCCGGGTGGGGGGTCTGTTCTTAATCACGCAGAGGCTGTCATTAAGCTAGTTTGCACTTGACGTACCACTTAGTGCCAATGAGAGGGTCGGCCGAGTGCGAAGCTGGAACGAGGTGCGGTGGAGTGTAGAAAACTGTTCTTCAGCTATAGGATGAAGCTTCAGGACTGTTTTAATGAGGGGAGATCTGCCCGTTGAAGTGCCTCTGAGCAGAAAACCTGCTACGTATATTCAGCTGAGCCTCAAATCTGGATTTCACAAAAGGATAAATGTCCACTGAAGGCTGAAGGTGATGATTGTGATTGTTGATTTGACTCTTGTCATTAAATAGTGTAGCCTCACAGCCATGTACATTTAATTTATTGTGTTATTTTTCAAAACAAAAAAGAAAAGAAAAGCAGCAAATCCTCACATTGGGGGAGCTGGAATCAGTCATTTTTTCAGTGTTTGTCTGTTTTTCTTGTTTGACTCGATTACAGAAATATAATTATTGTTATTTTGATATAATTATCAAAGAAAAGAGACTCATGATGTCGGATTTGTGCACTAAGCAGCTATTTTCTCCGACTTATTTTGGACGATTGCAAGAATATTGTGCATTTTTTCCACCTAATTTGAGAACGTCAGGTTTCTCCTGTTGAGGATTCTTCTTCTTTTTCTCCTTCTTCCTTTTCTCCTTCTTCTTCTTCTTCTCCCTCCATCTCCTTCTTGTTCGTCTTCTTGCTATTATATTCTGAATGCCCAGAAGGCAACTTAACAACAATTAAGATAAAAGTTGAAACAAGGAGACAACAGACACAAAAAAAACAGAATGTCAATATTAATCAAGTCGCTGCTATCTACGAGCGCGTCCAGAAGGACAGCAGCCGAGCCAAAGTGACTTCAGAGAAACGAGACGAGCTAGACGAAATTACTTAACAAATCCATTATGTAAATTCACCCGAGGGAAGACATTGCTCCCTCAGGACAACTTCAGCTTACATGTAAAACAGGTCATATTTATTTTTAAGTAACGTTTTCTGTGCATGTGTTCGTGTTGAGACGATGCCAGGATTTCATTTTAAAGTCTTCATCGGCTGATGACCATGTCCTCGTGCGTCCCTTTCTCAGATTTTCTTAAACAGCTCAACTCTCTGCCATTATTACGCTTTAAAAAGCAATAAATAATTGAGCGCATAATCTCAGAAAAACAAACAGTCTCCACTTACTGGCTTTCTCCAGAGGTTTCATCCTATACCTCGTCCTATATTCTGCTAAAAGGGAGTTGGTTTTTCTTCTTGCCTCCGTCGCCAAATGCTGCTCAAAGGGAAGCTTTTGTTGTGTTTCTCTCTATAATATAATACTGTAAGGAAAGTGTCCTGAGATGACTTCTGCGCTGAATGGATGCCGTATAAGTAACACTGAACTGACTATACAGCCAGTTACTGAGGTCACACGAGGATAATGATGCAGCCCCCATGCACTGAGGGAAAAACCCTGAGAGTTGAGAATTTATTTCTTTAGGTCAGGCGGCATTAAATTAACTTATTAGGTGTCCCGGGGGTTTGAATGCAGCGTTGGTGTCACTTGATCCGAGCTGTGCTGATGCCAGGTTTTCTGCCACCCAGAACTCTCCTCTGTCTGGGCTTTTATTTTGAGAGGAGGAAAGGAAAACAGCAAGATATTCAACATCAAGTATCATTTAACCCTCTAATACCTAGAACCCACCAGTGTGTTAGAAAACACAGTGTGTTAGATATCTCTAAAAGCATTTTAAAAATAACATTATTTATGATCCAGAAACTGTGAAAACAGAAAGAATCATCAGATTTTTCTAGTTTCTGATGGTCCTTGAATTTGTTTGACGTGCTGTTCCATTGTGTCCATCCAACCATCCGTTATCTATACACCACTTAATCCTCACTAGGGTCATGGGGGTCTGGAGTCTATCCCAGCTGACTCAGGGTGAAGGCAGGGGACACCCTGGACAGGTCACCAGTCTATCACAGGGCCACACTTAGAGACAGACAACCAAGCACACTCACATTCACACCTACGGACAATTTAGAATCACCAATTAACCTCAACATGTTTTTGGACTGTGTGGGAGGAAGCCGGAGAACCCGGAGAGAACCCACGCTGTCACGGGGAGAACGTGTAAACTCCACGCAGAAAGATTCTGGTGTCCTCACCAGGATGTGAACCGGCGACCTTCTTGCTGTGAGGCAATGGTGCTAACCACCGAGCACCTTGCAGCCTTGTTCCATTGTGTAAATTAATCAAATCTCAGCTTAAAATCATGATAAGTCATCAACGTCACTGTTTTCCAAATGTCTCATTTAGAAATTTACCAAAAAAAATAAACAATTCGCACCAGAATTTATGAAAATGAGAAAAAATTCTGAGCTATTTGGCGCAATCGACAACATTCACATAACAAAAATTCAGGACTGTTCAGCTGAACTTTTACAATTTTACAATTTACAAATGTAGATTGGACCACCATTTTCTTTTCCTTCGGTATTGGAAAAATGTGCAAAAAGGTTGTGCAGGTTCCAGGTTTTTTCAGTTTCTGTAAAGTAGAAGAGAAGAGATGTTCAACTTTGTTTTTAGTAGTAAAACAGTAAGTACTTAGTAGTATAAGTAGTCAAGTTTGTAATATGTGGTTCCATCATGGTTATTTCCTTCTTCTTTTTAACAGTATTGGTTACACCTGTAGGGGCTTGGTTAAGTGTTGCATGTGCTAAATTCAGTTTGAAAAAATAATTCATGGCATTGTAGCTTTGTCTTATTGCCCAAAACACATTGAGTTCCCTCTATTTCCAGCCATGGTTGTGCTGTTTATATAGAGGTGCAGGTTTTATATTGCAGTGAAAAATGAGCCCACAGTGAGGAAAAATGTGACAGCAGAAAGTTTGGTTAACAACACGACTTAACGCTTGTCATTTGTCTGTTTATTCCTCAGGCCCACTACTCCACAGGCAGAGTTTCTGCCTCCTTCACATCCACAGCCATGACTCCTGCAACGACACATGAAGCAGGCAAGTAAACACACAAAAAAAAAAAGCTGCAGAAAGAAGCATTTGTCTCTTCTTGCTGTCGCTGCTTTAACCTCCATTCATCCAGGGACGGCCGACTAGTCGCGTGTGCTCGTTTTGTATCAAAGCGCGGCTTCGTGATCGCACGGTTATATGCAGCTGCAAGTGGGAGCTGCTCATTTCGACTGCGTTTTCTTCCCCTGTCAGCCTCTGAGCTGCCCCATGGGAGAGATCCTGCTGTTATGCAACTGTAGAGTAGGTTCAGTACACTTCAGAAGAGAAGGACAATGTTTGGATTTAGTGACCTAGTTCAAAATTTTGAAAAGAGACGACATGACATATATATTTACATGTACGTCAATCTGAGTAACAGGGAGGCATGTCTTAGAACGGTACATTGTAGTGAAGTGCATGAACGAAAGAATTTGCATTTTTGTCATCAGTGTCTATGGTGAAATTTCAAATTTTGCATTTTTTTTCCAGATCAGATACTGTTTTAAGACTGAGTTGCACCAACAGTAACTTTTAAAACAAAAGCAGTTTGGATTAAAGATGTTCGCAGGAGAATAACACTTGCGCATAAATCTAGATAACAGCCTGCACTGCAGAGGCATGGAGGGTTTTTAAAGGTCACACATCTCACCTGCGGCAACATCAAGCTGAGACTCATAAACAATCAATAACATCTTGAGATTGTTTTCCAAAAAAACCGCAGTCCCTGCTTGCTTGTAGAGCCGTAATCTTAAACATTTTTATCTAATATAACCGACTCTGTGTTTTTATTTTTTTTTGTAACAGATGCCATCTCGGACGACACGGTGCGCTACCAGTACGTGAAGAAAAAAGGCTACGTCCGTCTGCACACCAACAAGGGAGATCTGAATCTGGAGTTGCACTGTGATAAGGTAAGAAATTCGCACATTTACAACAAACATAAAGGCAACTGGAGGAAATAACACTGATGCCAGTTGTTGTATTGAAGACAAACACACTTGCAGAGACTTTTGTTTGCGTCTTCTGTAACTTAAGAGAGTTCAAGTCAGGATATCACACGCAGCCTTCACAGTTTTTTTTTTTTTCTATTTCCATATTGTCGCTGCTGCTTAGAGCTACAAGGAAAAAGGAAGTTAATTTGATATCATGTGTCAGGCCTGTAATTTTCAGTCCGTGGCAGGTGGTGTCAGAAGGATGATGAAAAGAAAAAAGCTGCCCTTTTTTAAATCTTTATTGTCAGATATTAGCAAAGCTATCTTGTAAAATATATTACAAATGAGGTCTGCTGTTTTGACACGGAGACTCTGATTCAGACTTGGCTGATTTAATTCAAATAATAATGTTGTGACGTAGGTTTCGGCCTGAGCAGGTGGTGAAATCGTATTTAGCGTGACTCATCCAAATAATCAGCCGTTTGCAGAATGTGTCCCCCAGGTTGCCAAGTTTACAGCTTTGGCAAAAAAATACAAATAAAAAAAATGTGCTCCTTGTGTGCCGCTGCTTTTAGGGTTAGATGCGAGGCTCCAGAGAGGCAGCGTGAACTCCAGGAACGCATTTCTTTCCCTGGTAACCGGGCACTTCATCTGCTCGGCTTTCATTGGCTTCTGAGCCGTCGAATCAGAATAATGAGGGGAAAGTTGCAGCGGTTAGACAACCTGCCCTCGGTGCCCCACATCCTCCTCCTCCTTCTCTTCTTCCTCCTCCTCCCCACCTTCCTCCCCAGTGGTTTTTCACACAAGATTGCAGCTCTATTCGTAGCCTGCTGTTTATGAATTAATTAGTGGCGCTCCACTGTCACATACACTCCCAGTCACCACCTCCACGTAAAGCGCCCGGTTCATCAGCCAGCTTCAGATGTGTCAGACCCTGACCTCAACCTGGGCGAAGTGTCGGACGACGTGGCCTTTAGCTTCAGTCACACATGAAATCAGGGAAAGTGGCAACTTTATTATATATTAATAAAGCATCTTTGATTCAACAGACAGGGTTTGGACGACTGTTAGATTTTACAAAATGAAAAATGGCGCTGAAAATTAATACATTAGTATCATAACAGCAACAAAAACCAATATAATTACAATGACAGCAGCAATATTAACAACAACAACAACACTTAGAATAACAGTTCTAATAACAATGACAACAATAGTAATAATAGAAGAATTATCATACAGCACTGACAGTAAAAATAATGACAATAATAATGCCGGTAATAACAATAGTAAAATTGCAAAACAATAAATGCAGTTACAATAATAGTAGTAATAATAATTGTTATCATTATTATAACAACAACAGTAAAAATGACAGCAATAACAATAGTAATAACAGCAATAAAAATAGTAATAAAAATATGAATAACAATAACAATACTACTAGAGTACGACTACTACGATACTATACTATAATAATACCATAATAATGATCATTAATAATTATAGTCAAAGAATTAACAATAATAACAACTGCAACAGTAACAACAATAATCACAGTAATGACAATTTCATTACAACAAACAATGCTACTTTTTTTTTTTTAGCTAATTTAATTCTATTATACAAATGCCCATCTGCACAGTTCAGTTAATCGTAAATATAAAACACAGTCGGGCTGTTACTTTATGTTATGACTATCTTCTACAGGCGCCTACGAGTTTAGATTTGCATGAAAATAAAGTGAATACATAAACTATTAGGAAGCTCCTCAAATGCACACAATTCTGGCTGGAATAAAGTTGATTTACATTAAAATCTAATTACTTTTTTTTTTTTTTTTAATTAATTAATTCACGTTAATGGATTTTATGTCCCTTATCCCTTTTTTTATTATTTTATTTTTGGCTGGTTGTCTGGGAAGGAGAGAGCCCATAAGCGATATGTGAATTAGGACATTTTCTACGTTTTCTTCATTTTTCTGTCTGTGTCAGCGAACATTGTTTCCATGCTGACATCACTGATGGCCTGCAATTTTAGACACCTAGGCATGTTTCTAAATTGGACTGCATTTTAAGCATTCTTGAGCTTCACACACAGAAAGAAAAAATAAATGAATACAAAAGCATGCATGCTAGATTAACTGTCATTACGGGGCAGCGACAGCAACAAACTGAAGAGGCTCGAGAGGCAACGATAGAGATCTCTGACGTGGGAGTTTGTCCAGAGGGAGTTGAAGCACGACATCAATGCACAAGTTATCGGTTGTACCAGACGGCTTGTCATTTTACAGCTGGTTTTCAAGCATTTTTCTCAGCCCAAAAATCTATTTTACAGCAAAATTGTAAAAAAAAAAAAAAAAATCGAGCAGTTTTCTCGACGCAGTGGTTTAAAACAATAAGCCTCTTTGTACCAGAGAGCTTTAAAAAAAATCAAATGGCAGAGCGTTGAACCCCAACAGCAAAATTGAGTTGTAGGTGGAAATGAGACCACCAGAGCTTAGAGGAACCCGTCACACGGTGAAAAGCCCGGGAATAAAAATAGGTTTTACGAAACCATCTGATGATTCTTGGAAACCACCAGCCATTGTGGCTAAGGGGAAAAACTTAGTTTCTCACACACACATGCTCAAGCGCATTCAGAGAAGTGTTCCTCAAGGCTGTTGACGTTAATAGCAGCAGACCTGATGGACGTCATAGTCGAAGCCACGCCTCCTGCTCGGGGGGACAAAGGATGCCTTATTTCACAGAGTCTAAATTAGTTTCTGTCAATAGTAGGTGTTTTGTAATGATTTACAGGATGCCTAAAAGTTTAGATAACCCAGGATGTACCTTCAGCAACCCACATGTCTGCTTTTTTACACCGGCAGACTAGAACTAAGCCTCCCTTCTGGCTATGTCAATACGTGAGGCTGCCGCAGGCAACAGATGAACTCCACTTCATCGCAGACTTAAGTGTATAGCGAAACACTTTCTTGCAGGTCAGACAGAGTTGAAAATGTGCGACTCTGTTTGTTTATGCGAATGCGAACCTTCATTCTGGAAGCAGAAATACAACCTCTGTAGTGCAACACCTGTCCAGTGTGTTCTGGCTCTCTGGAGGCAAACAATGGAGTGACCTTATAAAGCCTTCATCCATCGACACTTCGAGGCCAAACAGGCACCACGTGTCTGTTCTCGTGTTTAGGTTGTGTTCCAACGTACTAATTTTAAACCACACAGCTGATTTCTGTTGACTATATAATCGTAGAGCAGCTGATTTTTTTTTCTTTTTTTGGCACATTCAGCCCATTCAGTAACAGGGAAACAGTGCCAACCGTTGAGAATTGTTCACTCACTTTTGTTGTGGGTGTTTGTTTTTTGTTTTTTAATAATTAATATCTGCATACTCTTTCCTCCAGGTTCCCAAAGCTGGTGAGAATTTCATCCGTCTTTGTAAAAAAGGCTACTACGATGGGACGGTCTTCCACAGGTCCATCCGGAATTTCATGGTAAGGAAATAGACCTACTAGATAAGATTAGGAATCCACTGATTATCGACCTGAGCGATTATCGGGGCAGATGTTTAGCATTTTTCTTCCTGTTATGATGCAACTCTCTCTCTGTCTGTAGTCAATATGTGGTCTATAGTGATGGCTCGCACACATCCCGAGTAACAGCCAATCACTGAAATCGATTGTTTACAGAGAGAGACAGATTTGCATATTGAGCACATTTGCGTAGTGGAGCAGCTCTGGTGAATTAGCAGAGCTGTGTTTGGAAGCTGAGGTAGCAGATGTTGCTGAAGTTGTAATAAACGCCTCAATATTACAAAAGCATGTCCAGTTTACGCAAATGATGTTACAGTAATTCACTTGTTGGTGTCAGTGCAACTGGAACTTATTTTTCTGACAGTGCTCGGCTCAGCCATCACTGTAAGGTTTGCTGTGCCTCTTAGCCCGTGGACAACATTATCTGGAGTCCCGTAACAGCTTCCTAAAGTCATATTAACTTTAACAGTCTGTTCTAAACGCATCTCTTTAGCAGAGACTTGACCTGCAAAAACCGAACAAAAAGCACAGCCATTTCCACAAATTAGGAAACTACGGCTACTGCTAGCGGCTAAATTATGAGGCAGCCACAGATTACAGTGAAACCGTGTATTGAAAACACTAACTAATAATGCTTTTAAGATATGGGCCTTAGTGGGCAATTAAAGTGATAGAACACTGACAGATTACCAAAACAGAGAACAACAGTAGATGTAATTGAAATCTCACATTAAACTGAGTCATGATGCTCTGACATCCTCACCCCTATTCCTATTGTATGTATTCAGTAAAGTAATAGTAATATATAGTTTATTTAATTCAGTATCTTTCAGGCAGTCTTTGCCAAAGTGTTTATTGCTCATGTTCATGCTGTGATGACGATGAAAATACGGTTTGCTGGATTGTGTTTTCTGATTGTCGTCCGGACCTGCTTACCTTTTGAGGAGATTGTGAGCTACCTCTAGTTTCTTTAGTCTTAAGTTTCTTTCACTGGTGTGGACATCTTATCAGCACAAAGTCTTGGAAACCATTTCAATTTCACTGTACAGGCTGCACATTTAGACTGATGAGGGGTTAAAAGTTCAGACATATGCAGTAGTCAGGAGGTAATGCTCAAATTGCTCATTAAAATCTTGAAATGAAACCAAAAACAGACAGCCGATGGAGAGGTGTTAAAGCTGCAATTATATGCTCTGCGCTGTTTTCTGACTGCAGTATTTTTAACTGAAGTTTGAACAGGTTATATTGGCTCAAATGGGACTACGGAGAATTGCAGGACTCAGAGTGGGCTGTAGTAAAAGCATGGGTTTTGTGCAAATAAAAAAAAATCTCACCTGAGCATTTTTGCGAATGTTTTGGCATTTTCTAGACGGTTATTACTGGAAAAATTACTGGTTTAATTCTCAAGACAGCCATGTGTGTTGTCCAGGCAGTGTTGTGTTGTTAAAGAAATGTGGCTGATTTGGGGTTTAGAGTCAGTGATTATCCTGAATTTAACATCAACCTGGGGTGCAAACAGCAGGTCAGCCAGGGGGAGCTCAGACGGTCTTAATAGGACATGAGCTCCCCTGAAAACATGATTTTGGGAGGTCTCGAAAATACCGACCATACTGTGGTGACTATTGCTATTTGTGCCCTGCATTGCTATTTTTCTCATTCCAGTCATCATGGAGCATTTGTGAAATTAGGCTATTATAGATGTATGATTCATGGTCGTGGGTGACTCATCACTGATCCACTTTAATAAAGACACCGGCATGCATGCTGTTTTTGCTATTGTTATGGAAGCACGGTGGGGCAATATCATAAATTTCATTCACTTTAAGTTGAAAAAAATGAACTGGTTTTGGTGCCGACAGAAGAGCAAACCAAACCCGCATTCTTCCTATCATTGTTATTCTTATTTATGAAAGCAATTAGAAATGAAGGCTAAATCAGATGCTATATAAATATTGTATTTTGGGATGTCCAATTTATTTATTTTTTTCCCCTCAGTCCAATCGTAGTTATTTAGTATTTAGTATCTGCCAATAGCGACTCCCAATCGGATACCATTTTTCCCAGGAATACACACTTCAAGAATTGTAATTACCCTAACCCTAACCCTAATACCAGGTTGTGCCACCAGACGGAGCTTTTAACTGTCCAATAGTGTAGCCTACGTGTTGGCAAGCAGAGAGTATTGTGGAGGTTTAGCCAGTAAAGGTGCACCATGACAGAGTCTTATGTGACGCTTAATCACCTCCAGCCAGTGCAGGTGTCGTAAATTAGCCAGAATCAACCAGAATAGTGTTCCTACACCATACTGGCATGTGTAGTTGTTGGTTTTGTGGTTGTATAATGTGGCCATTGCTTAAAACAGCGATATCCAGGTTGGATAAAAGTCCCGTGTGCTAAATGTGCTTTATAAATCTATTAATGGTCGATTAATTATGCTTAATTAAGTATTTTGTTAGCTATTATGTTCATATATCGAGTGCGTTTTACCGCCGTGTTCATAGTGTTTATAATGCCCTTCTTCTTTTGCACTTCTTGTTAGATGCTAAACTTCATTTTGTTGTCCTAGTACTCTGTGCAATGACAATAAACTTAAATCTAGGCTAATCTAATCTAATAAAAGAATCAGGCTGAGGTTCGTGCCAACACCGATTAGTTAAAAATTTTGCCATAATTGGTACATCCTTGGTTGTATTTATTGTGTATGACCATGAAAAAGTGAGAAAAAAAAGTGTGCTCTTTCAATAGCCAGAGTATATCTGACATGCTGTATCCACCTACTCCTTACTATCACATTTTATTTATGTATTTTATCAACATAAGTTATTAACGTTTGTGTCGTGAGGAATTAGAACAAACTGGATCTTGAGGGAATTTATTCTCCAACACTGACTGATTTAGATTTAACTCGAAATATAAATGAATTACTAGCTTACTCACAATGTCGTTCGTATTTTTTATTTACCTTTTCTTCTGTTGAACTAATAATGTATTCTAATATTTTTCTGCCTCTGAGGTTAGTAAACACGGCTTTATTCTTTGCACTCGCTCTTCGGCTGAAGCTGCTTAACACAGGCTGAGAATTTGAGACGACAGGTCTCTGATCAGCCGCTTCACTGTGTTTTTTCAGAGCCGCCGCTCCCATAATTAAAGTGGCTCTGAGTGGACATCTGGTCTCAAGAGGACCCTTACCTTTTTCCTTCTGTCCCGCGGTTTTCATACACAGTGGCGAGCTGTGAATTGTTTATCCATAATTACTGTGCCACTTACGGCTTCGACTTATCCTCCTCGGCCCCAACGGAGGGGGGGCGGGTGGCCTTGGAGAGAATAATTTCATAGCAACAAACCCTTTAATAGCGGGAACAGAAACATCTTCCCATACAGCACTTCATCAGGACCTCGTGAGTGTACAGAACATCGTGAAATGACACTTGGAGGAATTTGACAGTATTACCTTGAAACGTGAGAGGCCCGCCAGGCTGCCGTCTCACGTTTCAGACTGCGAGAAGGATTGTTGAGGTTTCATACAGCTCTTACACATGAGCTGTCGAGGAACCTGGGACACTGGAATTGCTTTGCACTTTCTGAAAGATCGCCATTCAGATAACATCCAAAGACATTTATAACATCTCAGCAGTGACGCTAGTGACTAGAAATAATCATCAAAAGCACTTTTTCTCACTTATGTAGCTCGACGTGAAAATACACGACGACCCTTTATTTTGTTTTTAACCATTAGACTATAATGACAGTGCTACAAATAATTATTTTTATGGAGTGTTTTTTTTCCCCCAAATCTATGTGACAAAGTGCTTCACAAGGACAGCAAAAAAGAAAAACAGTCCTTAAAAGAAGACTCACTGAAACACAATTTGGTGAATAAAACCAGCACCAATAAGAGGAGATCAAACTATATTAATCCCAAAGGAAATTCTTCCGCTAGATGTTGCTCAGAAAACAAAATTACATAACAACACCAGGTAGGAATGTAAAAAGTTTTTTTAAATATGCAAAACTTAACTATATGTGAAGTCTGAGACCTCATTAGTTTTTATGACCATAAAACTTTAACGGTAGGCTGTAGCATATTCGATAATCAACCTCTGCTTACTGTGTGAGAACTTTGCCACTGAAGAACACTGCATGCACCTTTTTAAAGTTTTAACAAGCATGCCAGACTGATGTGTTTCTGTCTTGACACAAAGATCTTTTGATTGTTTCAGAAAATACAATTATAAACCAGTGGATGTGTATAATATGTAGCTGATCACAGACTATACCAACACCGCTGTGGCACAATATCCTGTTTCCACCTCAACATTTATTCACAACAGAGGAGTTTCTGCATGTTTTTGCTCATTATCTTCTCGCTCCACCACGTCACTCTCTCGTTCTCTCATTCTTCTGCCTTCTGCTCCATTACAGAGAAAGAGTTGCCCAAACAGTTTAATAGCAAACAATGCAAAATCCTTAGAAAATAATCAACTAATGCTTCCTCTGCTGTTGGCAGAGAGTATTTTGCCAGCTACAAAAATAAAAGTACAAACGCACAGTGGCCTTCTCATCAAAACTTTGCTCCTGGTCAAAGCCTCCAGCTCTTTAAACAAGAAAGAAATGCACAGATGTGTGGAAGCAGTCATCGGAAGGTTGAGCCCTAACAATGAACAATGGAGGCCAGTATCCTGGAAAGCTTTGACTGCTAACAAGTGTACAGGGAACATGACTCCAGGTTGGGTGTGTGACGAAAGAAAATACTGTTTTGTTAATTGTTCAGTCTTTTCACATGACAAAAAGATAGCGAAACAGCTAGATTTACAGTTTTGCAGGGGTCACGAAAAGTTTGATTTTGTGTGGCGGTCTAAAAACTTAAGCTATTCAGTGGTGTCATGCTTGATTCATCATTTCGTTGAGGTTTTTCACAGTCAGTGATTAAAGCAGATGAAGATGAACAAAAACTTTTTAAAAAGATTCTTGACTTATAGTTTCAACTTCGATTTGTGGGGTGAGTTTAGTCTCATGACACAGCTTTACATGAGTTAAACATTAACGTGTACGTTGGTTTTCAGTGTGCAGCTCATGCAGCTAGTTCCTGTGTTTCCACAACACACTTTTGATGGCGTTTTGAAGTGTCTCATAGGAAAAAGTTAACGCCATAAAACACTATCATTTGAAAAAATATACAAAATCTTGCCAAAAATGATGTTTAAGGTGGTTTTTGACTTTAGAAAAAAAACAAAAAAACAAGTTAATGCACTTTGCGGAAGACAGAAACACCTTTTCAGATTTTCTTTTGCAAGAATGAATCAAACCTGCAATCAATTATGTTTTGAAGTGCCCACAGTTGTTACCAATTTTGGGGGGAAAAGTGACTCTACCTACTCTACATGTGGAACTACTTATTTTTAATTTGTTTACCTGCTTCCCTTATGCTCTGTGCAGACACAGGCTGCAGTTCAATCTAAAAGTTCCTGTTGTTTTCTTATGTCATAAACATTTGACTCACACGACTGATCAGCTGTTGTCATCTCTGGACTGGATGAAACATGGTCGACACCAGCTGATATTAAAGAATAACTACAGCTTTACCAAATAAAAACAACTCATGAAGACATTGCTTCATTTTTCGCTCATAAATGCAGAAATTGATAAAAAGCTGGTTTTGTTTCTGACTTCTTTTATTCTGTCTGTATCGCCCTTTGACGACACTACAACGCCTGTTTTATTCATTCCAAAGCAGTTAATGGGAACAAAGCCAAGTCATGTTTTCTATAATTGTTTTCTTCTTCTTTAAATCTGCTTAACAGTTATATGCACACATCAACCAAACCTAACCTGACTTTTTTTGTTTGTTTGTGCATTTCCAGATTCAAGGAGGAGACCCCACAGGCACTGGCACAGGTAAGATGAGCACTGCACTTAAACTACATTTTGAATTACATAACGCTGCTCTGTTGAATTATTAATAGTTCCTTTTTGGAAGCTTTGCGTAAATACTGCTTGCAACTCAAGATGCAAGTCAAAGAGTGTTACTATAATTACCCTACAAAGGCACATGGGAGCACACGCAGTCACAGAAAGACGGAGATGATGTCGATGGAAGAGTGGCGGGTACAAGATGGGGGTGTGGTGAACAACCAGTCATCCAGCATATGGTGTAATTTTCCTCATTTCAGAAACCCAGTTTATAAGGCAGCTCAGTGGAATTGACTGCAAGGCCACATACAGTTAATTTCCTGCCTTCATGTCGTCCTGTGCTGCTGTGAGAGTTTTTGCAGCACAAAGTGAGCTTTGTGTCTGTGGGCGTCTCTATGCAAAACGCATCCACCATGACAGATTTATGAAGGTGCAGAATTTCTGGCCTGTGGGTAAAATTCTCATCACCTGGACTGAACAGTGTGTGCACACAACTCAATAACAGACCTTTAAACTGGCTTTAAAGGCGGGTTTGTCTGTGGTGCCTCGCAGCCCTTAAAACATGCAGCAGTGTGGGTTTTGGCATGCAGATCGTATACCTGCAGAATGTTAACTCTTACATAAGAAGCTGTTGTGAAGCTTTGGACTCGCGTCACTCGTTCTGTTGTTCTGGTGCAGCGTATTTAAAAAATCCGCTCTACAAATTGTGCAAACCAAATCAAGCGTGACAAATGTCAAGTTATGCCTTTTTGAAGACCTCATTTGGCTCACAGTTAGTGATAAAGATAAAGGCTGCTAAAATCTGAGTGTATTTTTCGGAGCATTTGATATAATGGCTGCTCTGGCGTAGAGGGTAGTGATGGTAAAATGAGATATTGAACAGCGATGTGATGCTTTCTTGACACATTTTAGGTGTGAGTGTCAAGGAAACGCTATAAAAATTGCCCCACACATGTTGAGTGAATCCGTCTCTTTCATTGCCTCTACATAAATTGGTAAGAGACACACTCAGCAGACTGCTCACTGTAGCGTTTCCCAAGTTCAGAAGTGCCTCATTTATCAAAAACCCTTCAGGACCAGATGGTTCGGAGAAAGACAAGTTTTAACCCTCTGGACCCCGGGTACTTTCTAAATGTTTTCTGCTCCTTGTCACATTTTTAGTCACTGTGAGCTCATTTTTCACTGCAGTATAAAGCCCTGCACTTCTATGGAAACAGAATAACCATGACTAGAAGTAGAGGGAACTGAAAGATGCATTATGTGCAGTGTGACACAGTTCTACCAGAAATCCCGTAACTAAAGAAAAAATACTATTATTATGCAAATGTCGTGCAATAATGAAAACATCTGGAATCAACATGTACATTATTTTTCCAAATTGCCCACAGGTGTTCCCAGCACTGGAAAAAAAAATACTCACACTAAACACAGCTTGCAGTTCAATCATACAGTTCCTGAATTTTTGTCACGTGACTGTTGGTTACAGCTCAGTCCATCAAGGCTTACTGGTTGTACAGAATATTTAGTATTTTTTCAGAGTCTGGTTGGAGTAAATGGTGTAGTTTTGGCACGTTTTTATATGAGACATGCAAAATAAAGTAGTTTTAATGAGAGATCATGATTTTAGGCTCAGCTTTGGTTAATTGTCTCAATGGAACATGATTAGTTCAAGGACCATTGGAAAGTTTAACATCTGAGTATTTCTCTTAAAGTTTAAATGGTGTTATTTTGGCAATTTCTTTTGTCTTTAGACGCCTGTCGGATCGGCTGAAAGGTTAAACATTGATGTTGGATAGCTTGGACTGTCATTTCTTTTCCTTTTTATCCTTTCAGAATGAAAGTACAGATAGAAAAGAGACTTTTGATTGGAGGAAAATTGTATAAGTAAAAGTCAGATCAACTGACACTGCAATCAAACTCCAGAAACTTCTAAGAAGTTTATTTGATGCCGCCTGAGCCAAAGATTTATTTTTTTAGATTTTTACAGAATCTGGTTGGAACAAATGGTTTATTTTGGCAAGTTTTTTATTGAGACCTGCAAAATAAAATGGATGTTATTGAGATATCACCATTTGAAGCATTGGTTAGGTTTCCTGATTAGTAGTTCTTGTACTGTTGAAAAGTTCTGTTCTTCCTCAAGTAAATGGTGTAATTTTTGGCAATTTCTTCCTTTTAAAGACAGCTTGGCTTTCAAACTTGCCTGCGGGTTTTAGGGTTCAGAGAGTTAAACATTGAATTGTAAATGAAATCACAAACGCATAATCGTAATATTTCATAATAGGAAAAGAGAAACACATGCTCGCTCATACTTTAAAATGCTTAAATATTGCATTCATTAGTGGCAATGTCTCCCGGCCATGTGCTGTCAGCGCAGCCTGTTTTCACATTGCTCCTTTCTGTCTTGTATCCAAGAAGGCGAAGTTTGAACTTGTACTGTCGATTTCGTTCGAGGGAATTTTCAAACTGGCATCAGAAGGAATGCGGTTTGATTTATCGATGGGAATTAATTCCTCTCTTGGTCCTCCTCTCGCTCTCCCTTCATTTATGATCGGGGCGTACAGGAGGTAAAATGTCAATGAGTTGATAAATTATGCAAAAATGTCACCGGGAGAACTTGATGGCTGCACAGGCCTCTGAGGAGTGGACTGGTTGGTCGTATGCATTTACACTCCAGCGTAAACTCTCACTGAGTACACAGTGTACCTGCAGAACATTTGCACACTTCGCTTCATGCACACACACCAGCTGGCAGGATGCAGGACAGCGAAACACACCTCAGGGCGACAATCCTCTCCTCCTGTTGGGAGCCAATAAGCTCCTGCAGCGCTTATTCCTGTATACTCATCATGATGATTCTTAATGATGAAGTCGGTCTGAATAATGATTCGCAGCTGAAGTCTCTCTACATGGCTCCATGTTCAAGGGCAAACGGGTCTCCTGCTTCTTATTAGAACGCACACCGCCTTGTCTCTGTGATGATGGTGCAGTAATTTGAATAAGTAGTACTGACAGAGCCGCTAATTTGTGTTGTATTCGTACAAACGCAATACATTTTGTTGCCTTTCACAGTATAAAACATGTATTGTGGAGCTGAAAATTCAACGCTACTTGAACTCGACTCAGCTTCGTTTACATGCATTAATTCCTAGATGGTGCTTTAAAAGACAGATTAACATGGTGACCTTCTGCTCAGTAGTTGGTGACATGATAATTACCAGCAGTATAAAGTCAGATTTGAACCTGTTTTCTAACAAAGATATCTGTTTGTGCCGGCACACTGCGGAGATTTGTTGTATATAAACTTAATACATTCAGCGTTTCTTTCCAAAGTGCCTTGGCTGTGTCTTCAAAGCCGGAGATGTTGAAAATATTTCCTTCTCTGTTAAACAGAGAAAACGCAGTTAAACAGAGTCTAAACAGAGAAGTTGTAACGCTGGGTTTTATAACATTTTTTGAAACCTGCCATGTTTATATCAGGTTCCTTCCTTCCATCGGTTTACTGGTAATTTGCTGCACTTTCTCAACTGCAGCTTTGGTTTACTGGATAAGACGAGTTTGTTCCTCTGCCAGACCAATCTGTGCTTCTACTGTTTCTGTTTCAAGTCACTTAAAGGTATCATCATCTTTGTTTGGTACCAACAACCACTGGGTGCATTATTTTATGTGGATGGAATCCCTTTTTTCAAAACATTTAATTTAATTTTACTTTACTAAAAGGCTTTATAGGTAACTTAATGTCTAGACTTAGACTTAGACTTAGACTGACTTTATGAATCCCCAGAGGCAAATTCAGTTGTTAAAAGCAGCATGAATATTCAATTAAGGGGGTAAACAAAAGCAAAAAGACAACACAGAATATAGACGAAAATTAGATAAAATAGAGAAAATATAATATAGAAACAAAAGTAAACAAAATTTCCAAAAATACACAAGAGACGTGCAGAAATGTGCAAATGAACAGAATGTGCAAATGATAGTGTGCTTGGATGTGCAAATGACAGAGGTAAAGTAACTACTTTACCATTGTTGGATCGAATAAATCAAATGTATACGTGCTACATGATAGAAACGTGGGGTGTCATTTAAATAACTTCAAAGTTTCGTACATGTTGCTCCTGAAATCCAACCTGAGTCCAACTTTCTGCTGTGATTAGGATAATACAGATTGTGTGTGTATATATATGTATATGCACACACATACACACACACCAAACCCCTCCAACATATATATATGTATGTCAAGGGGTTTTGGACTACTACTAAAAAGTTTGGACAGCTGGATGTGGATTGTGGATGTGGAGCATTGTGTGGGTTTACCGAGCACCTACCTACCATGATGACAAACACTTATGTGACACTTGCTGACCCCTAGCCAGTCCGGTATGTAACAGAGCATCTGCAGCTTGGATCACATATCCGTTGACTGAAACAGCAATATCAACACAGGACAAATGCCCAGAAATTTCCAAAAATCTATTACAGCAATTACTAGTCGATAATGTTTCTAAGTATTGCTTCATAAATTTATTCTAAAATCTCCACCCCTAACGTCCTGCCACATATTGTACTGTCCCATTATGACACCTGTGGGACAGTAGATGTATACAAAGGATCACGTTTAGGTTCGTACTGATACCAGTCAGTTAAATAATGCCTTGATTGCACCGGTTCCTGATACAGTGCTGCCCATTTATTGTCATACCCTTGGTCCGGGATACAATTATGACTATATCCGGGGTATTCCAGTAAGCGGGCTTCAAGATGGCAACGAGTTTGGGTGTGAAAACTAGCCAATGTACCGGACCAGCACCGTCTACAGGGCCTATATCGGACGTATTTAGCATGTATTTGGGAAAAGAAGTATTTAAGGAAAGAAAACAAGACTTGTTTTTAACTTTTATTAAATTTTAAACAAGAAAAAATTAACATGAAAAAAGGTCAAACATTAAAACCGCCTACTTTCTACTTATGATCAATAAACATATTTACAAGGAAGTAAAGGTGTCTATGAGTTATGAGTGTCGACATGCTCTTAAACAAATTTTCGATTTGTCAGACAGTGTGAACAACTCAGTGAAGCAGATCTCAGGTGAGCAGGTAATTGACAAACAAACAAACACATTGCCTTCCGTGGCTGACAGGGGTGAGATAATCTGCCACGCATCACCGACACTTGGCCCGTGAGCCGTAACGATCGGCCGACCGTGACTTTAAACAGGCAAAAGTTATTCCTGGAATCAATTTGGGGGAATTTCGTTATGACAAACAACAGGATTATGACATTATTCTATGATAATAGACAGACAGTTTTACTGTAGCTTAAATAGGAAATGATTCGGGACTTCGATATTTTCTGATTATAAACGGGATATTCTATAAAGCGGTATAACATTAAGTGGGCAGTTTGAGATTGGATCGGACCATCCCTGATATACATCCTTTCTGCGCACAAGATGAAAACAAAGGAAGGGGCTGATCACCAAAAACACTAATAACAACTTTCCAGCATGATGACAGTCTTTTTTTTTGTTTTATACAGATAATCTGTCAGATCTGCTAAACATAGACTGAGAACTGGTTTAACTTGTGTGTTCTCTGTGTTACCACAGACGGAGGTAAATAAGGAAACACACGTAATGTGATGGGCGTATTGAACTGTGATATTATAAATAATCTGAAAATGTGAGCTGAGTGTATTGAGACGCACAATCAGCCTTTTTCACGGCAGCCTGTTTGACTCGACCCAGCAGGACAAACACAGGTGTAAATGAGAACATTGCAATGGCTCCTGTCCCAGTAAATATAACCAGTGAGCCAGCGTGAATAACACCAGGAGAGCGAAGCGTAGCGTATCCGTCGTTAATGTTATAAATCACACCTGTGCTTCCGGGCTGAACATATATTCGAACTACAGGAACATCTTCAACTGCACATCCCACGCGATCAGACCCACTGTTTGATATCATGAACAGTAATTTGAATTTTTATGCAAAGATGGTTCTAAAATGTAGAATATTAGTTGCTTTTATGAATCAAGACAGAATGTCTTTGTGTTTCTGTGGTGTTCAGACGTCTGTCCCAGTGTTTTCTACAACAACAATCACATGAAATACGCGTTAAGAACTGACTTATTTCTAATTTTCTTCCTTTACCTTATGTGTTTTGACATTTTTGTCTTCCTCTTGTGCCTCCCTTCCTCTTTCTGTCTTTCCTTCTTCTTCCGCCCATTCCCAGGAGGCGAATCCTTCTGGGGGAAACCTTTCAGGGATGAGTTTCGGCCAAACTTATCTCACACCGGCCGGGGGGTTCTCAGCATGGCCAACTCGGGTCCAAACACCAACAAGTCTCAGTTGTAAGAAATGCTTTTTTTTTTTTTTTTTTTTTAAAAACACTCTTTGCTAAACTTTTAACCGCCGCTCTGTGCTGGAAAGTCAGCCAACAGAGAATTGTGTTTTGTTTTTCCTCTGTCTCTTTGTTCCTTTGATTTCATTGCTGAGGCCCCACAGGTGAATAAGACAAGAAAACTGTGTTGCATATATTGAACGCACACTTACAGCATTTACTTTTTTAGGAGGCATTTAGCAAGTAAAATAAGGTATTTTTTAAGCAAAAAAAAGAAGCTTGAACATTTGAACTTGTCCCTTAAAGAAAAGTATAAACCTTAGAAGAAGTTTTTTTTGGATAAAATCACCTTAAAGCACAAATACAGCAAAATGGAAACAGTTTTTTGTTTGTTTTATTCTTAATAATGCTTTACGTCAACCCCCTTTCTTTTTAAATGTTAATGAAGCAAATAATAGATCACACAATAATATAAAATAAAGTAGTTTGAGTGTCCCCAAATCCTCATTATAATATGTTATAGACTGTTTATTATGTGTATCTGCCACTTCAAAATGATAAAAATGGGGAAAGAGCAACCACCAGTGTTAACCTTGATTGATCTAAAGCCTTTTAAATGAGTTGTTGTGGCTTTTTTTTTATGTCATTCGGTGCATTTAGAAAAACTTATGTCAACAAACATGGCTGTTTTCCCCAAAAGCGAGTCTCCCTTGTAGATTTTTGCCGGTTATCTTGTTTTGTTGTCACATGTTTGTCGACTGAATTCTGCCTTGTTCTCATGTAATGTTTTTTTCCGTTCTGTTTTCCTCTCAGCTTCATCACATTCCGGTCTTGTACCTACCTCGACAGGAAGCACACCGTCTTTGGCAGGTAAGCCTTCTGTTTTCCTCCTCTGTAAGCGTTACTGCACCTTTTTGTTTTCAATTCGATTCAATTTTATTTGTATTGCGCAGTTTACAACACATGTTATCACGCAGCGCTTAACATAGTAAGGTATAGACCTTACAGATTTAAACAGAGAACCCAACAATCCAAAGTAGTCTTTGGACTTCCTCTGAGCAAGCGGTTGGCAACGGTGGGAAGGAACCAAACTCCCGCCCAAGGGAGGGGAAAAAAAACCTCCGGCAGAACCAGGCTCAGGGAAGACGGCCATCTGCCTCGACCGCTTGGGTGAGAGTGGGGATGAGGAGTGGGGAAAACAGGATAGCAGATGGAGAAGGAGGAGGAGAGGAGAGGAGAGGAGAGGAGAGGAGAGGAGAGGAGAGGCGAGGCTGGTTTTGTAAGGTGACAGACACATCAGAGTTTGGTGCCGTTTATAAAACTTCTTTCCATCTCACTTTCTCACCCTTGTGTTTTTTTTAAAAAATTCTTTATTGTATTTGGTTCCTTTTGGAGCTCCAGGCAGTGAACACCGTATTGTGACTTCCAGTCTGACTCCTGGCCGAAAGCGGTGAAAAATTTAGTAGATGCCGAATCTTAACCGATGGCTCGCCCTCCCTCTGCCGAGCTGAGCATGATCTTAAATGGTCGTGTTCTGGAAAGAGACTCTAAAAATATTCAGATTGCTTTCAAGTGACTGATTCTTCACATGGTCAACACACTTAAAAAGCTTCTGCTTTAACCCCACATGCAGCTTTTTATACTTTGCAGACCGTAGTCGTTGCACATTTAATGGGAGCGGCGGTGCAGCTTTACTTAAACTGATCTATAGATAATGTGAACTCTGCACCTACTTTACAGATGAAAGTTCTTCAGTTGATATGATTGTAAAGAACAGCTGAGTAGCTTTCCTCGTATCCTGCATGCTCTGATGTACTCTTAGGACCACATTTTTAGTTATTGTTCAACTATTTTACCGTTACTTTAAAGGCTTTTCTCACAAACCAACTTGTCGCACAGCCTTTACAGTAACGGTAGCATATTTAATTCTCCAATGTCAACTAAAACTATAATGTAAGACAAAGTGGAACTACACTGGAAAATTGCAGATATTTATGCAGAAAAATAGTAATTAGTCTGTTCCTTTAGGCTTTAAAGCTGCTCTTTTTTTATCAATTTTAATCAGTGTATCAGTTATTTAGTTTTGTTAACTCATCACACATCAAATGTATTAAAAATTAACGCCATAATTCCCAAAATGATGTCTTTCAATGTCTTCTTGTGTTTGACTAAAAGTCTGAAACTCAGGTTTTCATTTAGAATTACATAAAACAGAGAAGGCAAATATTTAGCAGATTCGCAATTAACCGCTTTAATGTTCAATTTTTTTTCTTGCATATATGTGTGTTTATACTGCCCCTGCTGTATTGTTTCTATCTTTTTTTTGTTTTGTTTTTATGCCTTAATTAGAGAGTTGACGGAAAATAAGGGGCGAGAGAAGGCTTGGAAATGAGGCACAACAAAAGCCTCTTGCTGGATTTGTTGAATCAGTGAAGCTGCACTTCATAGACAGGCCTTAAACCCCAAAACAACCAGGACACTGCAAAAAAAAATCTATTTAAAAACAAAAAGTTTTATCCATCCCATTCTATAAAAAGGCAGAAATAATTTTAGGCCAACAAAGAACCTGTATCTTTTCGTGGAACAAACTGAAAAGTTAGATTTGATATTCAGACGTCTCTTTCCTGCATGACTGGACCTTAAATGTTCGCTTTCTTTCTTTCTATGCCAATGGCAATGCTGCTGGAGAACCTGAGTAAGTCGACCAGTAAGGACGCCGTATGTAAACAGCATTCTTCATTCTCACACAGGTTGTTTTAATGAGTTTATTGAGTTTTGGTCCACGTGGGGAAGTTGGCTCACAGGTCAATGCTATCAGAAGGTACATATGACGCTTTTATGTTTTCCAACTTAATTTTTCTCAACAGATTTTAAAAGGCACACGGGGTCGCTTTCTTTGTAGCGATATGAAGATTACTGCAGGGTGTTGGTGAACCCAAAAAAGTCTTGAGCGACTGAAATTGTACCTTTTCTTCCACCAATCTGCATGTTGTCTGTAGATGAACTGAATTATCGACTGTGCTCTCTATCCGTTAGCATCCATCCATCCATTATCTATACACTGCTCTATCCTCATTAGGGTCACAGGGGGGCTGGAGCCTATCCCAGCTGACACCCTGGACAGGTCTCCGTTAGCATTATTAGCCTAAATTAATTCTAAATATAAACATAACAAACATTAGAAAACTAGTATTTGCAACATATTAAACTGACAGCTAATGACTAGCACAGGTTCTTTGAAGTAATCCTGGAAGGCTGCTGATAAAACGCTTTAGTCCTCATGAAAAAACACCAGTGATTGTCTGACCAATGAGAATTTGATTGAATGAAATACTGTTAATCGTTCAGCTCAACCGTGTTGTTTAGACTGTGGTGGCTACCTCTCTAAAAATCCTTGTTGTAATGTACTATTCCAAGTACAGCCAGTTTAATTTGCTCAGTCATTTCTTGAATAATCAGTTATTTATTCAGTCTTTGAAATGTCAAAACCGCCTTATACTATAATCTATGGAAAAGAAAAGCAGGAGGGAAAACCGCTTTGAGAGGCTGAAACCAGAAAATATTTTGACAATTCTGCATGAAAAGTGACCGGAGCAATTAAATTCAATTTAAAATAGTTGCACATTAATGCAGATTTAATTGTGAAATCCTGAAAAGCAATGAGCAGAACTGCTTCATTGGCAGTATTTGATTTTTCTATAGTTTTTGCATTAATATGAAGACACAAATCAGACAACCCTGCTTTGTTTTACCCAGCAACAAATTCTCAAATGATCTTTCTTAAAAACGGATTATTTAAAGATAGATCTTTATACTATAATAGAGGATTTTTATCCACATTGCAGACACCTGTTATCCAGGTGGTTTTGTTAGCATTATGTGGGAATATTCCAACTTTTGATCTTTAAACTGCTTTGTCTAGTAAAACTTCAAAAATTAAGAGCCTGAGCTTTTAGATCTTCAAATGAATGTGAGAAAGAAGCACCCCTTAAGAACAAAATGGTTTGCCATGAGCTTATTGGGCAAAACAAGTTTTCCGGCACTAAAAGTTCTGCACTAATGGATTGCCTGATATTATGAGGTCAGTGAGTCAGTAAGTGTGGGTGCTCCTCTGTTGGTCTGAACATGTGGAAGCAGAGCACATGTGGCCGAGAAGCATCCCCCGCTAGCTGTTTACTGATATCGTGTGAGCGCTCTCTTCTCACTCTCCACATGCTAACGGGAGGGAGGGGGGGCCCCCACTGGAGCAGCTGGATAAAGAGTTTTCAGTTTAAAGAGCAAACCGAGAGCAACTTCTTAAAGTGCTCTGCAGCAGGGGACTCGCTAACAGATCGCCTCTTTCCCCTCAGCGTTTGACAGACTCTATATCTTCGCCGGCTGCCTTCTCTGCTGTGTTTACACCATAAAGCCAATGTGCTGATAAGAAACACTATAAATATTTGCTTTTAACTGAAACCCGTGTTCAGTGTTGACTGAGGAATATAATGAGGTCTGCGCAAATCCCTCAGCCGGTAAATGACTTACTATAGTATATGAAAGCCAAAGCATGACAGTCTGAGATGGTTGCACATGGGTTTGTTCGTTTCTGACAAACCATTAAAAACAGTTTGCTCATTGTCTTGTACGACTCTAGGAATTAGGCGCTTTATAGATTTCTAATCTAAGGTTGCAACACTGCAGCCGTAAAGGAGCCGCGATCAAAATTATTGCATCACTGACATTTTGAAAACAAGGCGACAACATAAAAGGGTTGCTTAGAGTGATGAACCTAGTGGGGAGTGTTATTAGCTGAATGTGCAGCTTTGCAGAGCTTTGCAGTGAGTTTCAGCTCCTCGTTTAGCTCTGCAGATCACAAGCTCATTATTTTACCTCATTCTCACCACTTTCGTAGCTTTATTTTGCCTGCAGACGGCAGTTTTTTTCCAGCAAAACTGCTCTAAAATCACTGCACAGCTGACAAAGTTGGAAACTAGCCAAGGTAAAATAGTGCTTAGTAGCTAAAGAGTCCGATGTTCTCCACAGGAGTTGGTTGAGACCAAAAACAGAGCTAAAAGAGAGTGAAAATTAGAATTTAAATGGACTTTTATCGTTGCTACACGTCTGTAGGTGTGTTAATGAGCAACAGTTTGGTGACAGATTTGTCTGATCATCTGAAAAGCTGATGATATATCAGTCTCATGTCTAACACTTATTTTTTGTTGTCCTTAAATGGCTGAAGAAGAAAAACATGATTTTGTCTTGCAGACAGTGGTAGTGTGCTTCTTTAAGTGTGAATGGGTTCACCTTGTGATAAACTAAAATCTGGTGTGAAATAGTTGTAATGAGATCTTTATTCATGTTGCTACGGTGCATCTTTGCATGATGAACCATTATTATAGCTTCTGTAAATGAGAAATGCAATATCTAGTTGAACTAAAAGCGAACACTTGCTATCATTTAAGCCTTTTGCAGATCAATCTGTCATTCAGAACTAAGTCGATGTGACATTAATAAAAGATTAAATCCACTATATAGCAAATGATTTAACTGCAGCTGTTCCTGCGTCTGACAGCTTACCTGTCTGAAGTGAAGAAAACCAATCGGGTCTCTCTTGCTCTTTCGTCTCTCGTCACCTTGTCACTGACTATTCTACTTCTCTCTCGACCATAAAACCACATTTAGATGATAATGTGGGTGTAGCCTCGTAAAAGGTAGGGCTGATGCCATACTGTGTTCTTTTATGTTGGATGCCGGAGACATTATGTTTTCAGATTTTCCCGCTCATCCTATTTTCATAAACACAATATCCCGGTAGTGCCTGGACAGAATTTCTTCAAATTTGCCACTATCACTCATATGCATCTGCGGATGTCTCTGGATCTGAAACTGCTGGCCTCACCGACCTCCAAAATGTTGATTGTTCTGTTCTATTTCTTCCTCTCCGTCTGCTATCCCCATCCCCCTCATTCTCACTCTCACCCCAACCAGTCGAGGCAGATGGCTGCCTTCCCTGAGCCTGGTTCTGTCTGAGGTTTTTTTTTTTTTTGGGTTCCTTCCTACCGTTGCCGACTTCTTGCTCATAGGGAATCCAAAGCCAACTTTGGATTGTTGGGTTCTCTGTTCAAAATTCGTAAGCTTTGTACCATACTATGTTAAGCGCTGTGGGATGACATGTCGTGCTGTATGAATCAAATTGAACTGACTTGAGCTTAGACTTGAGGATAAACTGCTTGGATTTTGGTGGTGTGTGGCCTCTTTGACCTCACAAAACACCTATCTGACCATCGAATTATGATAAAATTTCACCAAGTGCTTGACAGGATGAAATAATGAATTGAACAAGTTTTATATCTAAAACTGGTTGGTGGAGTCAGACAATCGCATTATGGTAGTTGTAGTTTTTGTCAGCAAGTCCAGTTAAGCTGTTTGTCCATTTTACAATAAACTACAGTTTCTCTTGCATGTCTGTGACACTATGAATCTCTAAAAAATAGTCCACAGTTTCCCTAAAAACAGGCACTGTGCGTTTTGTTTGAGCAAAATGTATTTCTGCCATGATAGCTTCATGCCTCAGTGAACTACAGAGTGGAGTCTCGGTGTTCAGAAAGGCCTCAAACTGAACTTCCTGGATTCTGTTTCATCTTCTTACCTGTGGCAACACTCGCACACACATGAATGAAGTCTCCCTCCTGCTCTTTGACACATTTCTGTTGTTAAACTCACACACCTTCCTCCAATGGAAGGTCGGCTGCAGAGTCAAATAAAGTTCATTTCTCTAAATCGAGACGGATAACCTCGCAGGGATTTGAGCTCTGCTTCATCCCGCTCCTTGAAATCAGCCCACAGCGCTCTTGTCATGATTGAGCACATCAGTCTTCGCTCAGACGTGTCACGTTGAATGGTAAAAACGGCTGCACTGGCTTTGAGTTTATCCAGCAGTCTTAAGTCTCTAATCGTTACATTTTCATTATATATTTCATTGTGACAGATGTGCTGCCCTCGTTTTATCTTCCCTGTCGAAGATCAATACGATTTGGGACCTGAGTGGGACGCCCAGGTCTCTCCTGCATGGACGTATAGACGACTTGTCACCTTAATGAATGAAGGCTTTTTCGTGTTTTTCCCTTCTGCAGGATTGTCGGTGGATTCGAGACCCTCACGGCCATGGAGAATGTGGAGAGTGATCCCAAAACAGACAAACCCAAGGTAGAGTTTATCTCTCACCTCTAAATGTAAGAATCACACAGAATACCCGTCCACAGGTTTGTCAAATTATGTTTCATTTTACAGTCCTGAACTTTACCTGACACCCTGGTCTGCAGAGAATTACAGAGCGTAGGTGTGGAATCGGTTTAAGTCTCTAGATTGCTAACATTAAAAGCAGCAGAAGAGAGCAAGACTCAGTGGTGGCGTCATGACAGCGTTTTGACCCTTACATGGATCATCTAAAGGTCAGGTGCTAAGACCCGCAATAAAGCAGAGGTCGGTGAGAGATGACTTAGAAATACCAATGAGGCGCAAAGTTCAGTTTGCGAAGCCAAAGTGTTGTTGCCATTCAACACAGCTCTAGAAACGCAGCAAACACGGCAACATTTGTCATTTTTTAGGTTCATGTTGATGCCAAAAGTCATTTTCCTCAAAAAGAAATTTATGGTGTTTTCATCCCATTAACAGAAACTTGAATTTTTATCTTAGCGTTTGACAGCGGATGATAGAACTTAACATTTAGGATGTTTCATCATTTTACACATCATTTAATGGTGACTTTCTGTTTCACAGTCGGAGATCAAGCTCATCAGTACGACCGTGTTCGTCGACCCGTACGAAGAGGCTGACGCTGAGGTTTGGATTTCTCTGACTTTCTTTCCACACAGATTGCACCAAGAATATTTTTAGTTGCACATCAACACTAGAAGCACTTTTCTTTTCTATAGAGTGTGTGTCCCGACAGTACAAATGTTTGGACAGTAGCACATTTTTCATTGCTGTGGCTCTGCTTTAGAGCACATTTGTCTGAGGTTAAACACAACAAACTGTTCCCATTAAGGATAATTAAGGATGTTGACAGTAAATTGCGATTTTGGCTTTTTTTTTTTCTCTCCCAAGTAAAGATTTACTCTCGGAAGCTTAAAGCCATCTCTTTGCTTTCATAATCATTGTTTCATTTTAATTCACAACAGAGCTGGGTGATAAAGCTGAAAAATATATTGGAGAAAAAAAAGTCAGGCTCTATCATTAGTTACTAATTTCTTTTTTAATAAACAGGAGCGGAAGGTTTTATATTTTTTATTTAATTGCTTTATTCTATTTATCAAGGCACGCAGGTAGTTTAATGTTTACGGCAGTGAAGAACACACAAATAAACACTTAAATGAAATGAATTAGGATAAAGGAATGATTACCTCTTAATACACATTTAAAAAAGAAAGCAAATAGTACTAGGAGGCATATGAAGGATGACCAGGGCGAAGCCACTGCACCACGGTTGTGAAAGTTTTAACAGGCAAACAGTTTATCAAACCATTTCCATGTTGCTGTTGATGAAGATTTTCCTCTACAAAACCTCCAAAACCTTTAAAATTTACAAAATTTACGAGAACCTAGTAGCCAACAAAACTTTCAAGACCTCAAAATAGGAATGTCAATGATTATCAGTTATAATGATTGAAGTGATTGAAAACATATTAACCTTGATATTGTAAATGATCTATCCATTGTCTTTGGTAAGTCAATACTGATGGATCCTATGTGCCTCATACTTGGTCTCCCCGATGTTCATATTGTCAACAGCAGGCATAAAAGACTGTTCAAACGACTGACCTTTGCTGCAAGAATGAACATCCTGCTCTTTTGGAGCAAGGATGCCACTCCAACAAAGAAATCGTGGCACAATCTCATAATGGACTGTATCCCCAATTAATATATTACTTGCATGCTTCACTCAACAGTGGATGCTTTCCATGAAGTCTGGGAGTCATACACAAAATATATCACACCTACACTGTCCTCTCCCATCTTACTAGGATTTCCTAAACGGTCCTAACCTACCTATGTATGCACCAGTCCAATGTATCATTTGTCATTGTCGTGCCATACCTGAGCTGTTTTTGTTTTGTTATTTTTTTGCTGTTTATGTTGTCTGTTTTTCAAAAAATGTTAATAAATAAACATATTAACCAATAAGGCAGAAAACTAAAGACATGTCAGGAAATGTTTTGTAGATCAGCTGTAGTACCTGCTTGTTCCACCAGGTGGTCACTCAGACCACTGGAAGTTCCTTGTTGGCAAGCAGAGAGCATTGTGGGGGTTTAGCTAGTAACGGGCACCATGACAGAGTGTCTGTGATGCTTAAAGCCTACCGGGCATAGCGCTCGTTTGGAAGGCTACAGCAAGGTTGTGCCAAGAGCGTCGCAGTGGCCCGGTGGTTGATCATGTTGGAGCAGCCATGTCATGTAATATACGTCATTGGAACAGTTGTGTCAAGACAGCATTCAGAGTGTCTATAACGGGACACAAAATGATGACCATTGAGTTCATTAATCGTGCCCTGCTGATTGTTGGTAATTAAAATTGTAAAAAAAAATTACGTCCCCACTTCCAAACCCTCAAGAACATTACACCTTCAAGACTCCAACTCTTTTGGAAGTGTCTGATACATAACGCTTTTATTTTATCATCAATGTCTAGTTCAACATCAGAACAAAAAGATTGTGTCACTGGCTTAATACCTGCTTACACTACAGATGTATAAGTGTAGAAACCAGTTTAGATCTGGCCTATGTAAGACACCAATGCACCATACATGTAAGACTCCTTGAGCTGCATGTGAGAATAAATTCTTCCTGAACAAGTGACAAGAATTGTTAAGCAAACCTCCCTGTCCTCGCATCTGGTTTGCACTAGTGGGGATTTACGTGATTTGTTTCTTTCAGATTGCAGCCGAGCGAGAAAAGGAGCTTCAGAAGCAGGAGGAGGAGAAGCAGCAGGCCAACATCGCCCTGAAGAAAGCCAAGGAGGACCAGGCGCCGAAGACCTTCAAAGAAGGTGTCGGGAAATACATCAACCCTACCACAATGTAAGGACACAACACGCATACTGATGTCTACACGCTGCTTTCAGTGTAGACGTGACTCATCCATAGGCATCATTGGGATACAGCTGCATGGAACTTAATATTTAACCCAATATGTTGGAGGAATTTGGATTAAAAAGCAGCAAAGTGTACTGCCTGTTTTCTCACAGTCTGATGGTGGCGACTTGTGACAAGGGACAGTAATGAATGGATGATAAAACATGATTGCATAGCGACATAGCACCACCGAATGGGTCGAAGCATAATGTGAAAAACTGCCAATTATGGAGAAGATTACCAGTTCTCCCAACGGGGATAATTCAGGTTTATTATCCATAACATATTTTTTGCTGAGTTTAGGTACATTGTGTTGCATTGTGTGACATTCCACTTCACTTTCTCTTGTTTTGAAATAATATTCGGAACTACCTGCACCTTATAGCTGAAGTTTATCGTTCAGAAGCGATCAGAACAATAGATTTTTGTGCTAATAAATTTAGCTTTTTATGGCGGTTTATGGTGGAATTCATTTGCGACGCGCACGTTAAACCCTGTAGCATTTGTGGAGGTACTGAAATGACTGTCATTGTCCAAAATTAGGGGGCATTAAGTGAACTGAAGATGCTGTACTTTGGCTAAAGTGTGTATTCAGAGATGATGAGGCTCCTGATGAGTTAATCCATATCATCCTGCTCCTGTCATCGCATCTTGTTCGTTTTATTTTGCAGAACATGTCAGTATTAATGCTTCCAAATTACAGTCTGTTTGTTTTTTTGTTTTTGGACAGTTTAATGCAAAGCTGACATGTGGGCCGTTTCAGTCCTTTGCAGCTTTTTCATTCGTGGACTTCCAGGACAAAGACGAGATGTGAATGCTCTGCACATCTAAAACTAGCACTTTGACTCACACAATGCTACAAACGTGTTTTGGCATGACTATAAAAAGGATGAAGTATAATTTATTTTGTTTAAATTATGACTCAACATGACTTTCATTCGTCTCCCTACATTAAAGGATGGTTTTGGATTTAACTGGACTGCCTTAATCCCCAAATCTTCAGCTATACACTCCAGTTTTAGATCATTGTTTTGGTTGTCTGGCTGCACATTAACTCCTTTGTTGTGTCTCGCTGCTTTTTCCAAACCCCCCCTTCATATACAGTGAAACTTTAAGCAGCTCTTCACAGCAAACAGGCAGATCAGTTCAAACTCCTCAACACCAAATAGTAGAGAGAAAAAGTGAATGAGGGTCTGTAACTGCCTGATGTTTGTTCTGTAGTTTGCACTGAAGCTGGAGCTTTTCAGGATGTCTAAAATCTGAAGCCTTCAAGACTGTAAGAACTTTTAAAACATTCTAAATTTTTGGAAACGTCTAAAACTCCCAGACTGCTGAAGCATTCAAGAACTCTTCAGAAATACTTCTACATTTTTAAGACCCCAAAAACCTTTAAAACCTCCAAAAGTTTCAAAAGCTCAAAATCCTCAGGATATCCAGAACTTCTAAAAATTCCTCCAAAACCTTCAAAAGCTTAAACACCTTTAAAATCTCAAAACCCTTTAAAACTTAAAAAACTTCGAGCCCTTAAAAAACAAAAAACCTTTAAGATCTCTAAAGCTTTCAAGACCTGAAAACCTTCCAAACCTTTGCAGTTTTCAAAACTTTCAGGACCTTAAAAAAACCCTTCAAATTTCCAAAAACCTTTTGAAACTTTTGAAATTGGCAAAACTTCAAAGACCACAAAATCCTCCAAAGCTTTTAAGACCTGAAACACCTTCAAAACCTCAGAAACTTTCAAGATCTTAACTTCCTTCCAAAACCTCCAACTATTTAAGAGCTCCAAAACTCTCAAGCCCTCAAAACAAAAACAAAAAAAACCTCTGAACTTAAAGAAATAAAAACACTTCAACCTCAAAAAAACTTCCACACACAAACACTTTGAAGATGTAAAAACCTTCAGAAATTTAAACACTCTCAAAACTTCCAAGACTGTGAAATCCTCCAAAACCTTCAAGACCACAACCCCCTTTAAGATTAAAAAAACAAGACCCAAAAAAGTCCTTAAAAATATCTTTAAGACTGAAAAAGTTCTACACCTGAAAAACATAAGACCTCCAACCTTAAAAGCATCAAAGTCCTCCAAGGGACAAAAAAAAACAAAAAAGATGTCCCAAATTTTTAAGACCTCAAAGTCTTCCAAAAACCACAAGACATTTAAGAAATTTTTAAAACCCAAAAAAATCCAAATCTTCAAAACCTTTAGCACTCCATCCTCTCATTGTGACAATATGCTGCTCTGTTTTATATCACTGTAAACTGAGTAACTTTGAAGTTTCCTTCTACAAATACGGACATTTGAAGAATGCTCCTTAGCCTTTGTAACGTTTTTTGTATGTTTTTTTAGGCCAAACAATCAGAAACAGAAAAAATCAAGACTTTGCTAACATCCTGCTCGTCCTCTTCCAGAAAACGCTCAGCTGCTGAAGACGACAGCGGTCCGTCCACCAGCGGAGTAGCAGCCAAGAAGTCCAAAGGGAAGAGCAGCTTCGGAGACTTCAGCTCCTGGTAGCACCGGCGCCTCCAGCATTTACCATTCTGAACTTTAACTGGTCAGCGTGACCGCGAGCAGAAATAATTTCATCCGTACTCTAGATTTTTGTAACGTCTGTCATCTCTCAGTGGTGTTTGCATCTTGTGAATCTATACATTAAAGCTACTTTTTTCATATGTGTTGTTCTTCTCTCATGTTGGGCATGTTGCTGAAAAGAACTCTGTGTGAATGTTGGGTTCTTGTTTCCATTTACTGCTTTGGAGCAACAAAGCTGCATCGTGACGAGACAAACAAAACTTTGTCAGTCTAGTCCTCGGGAATTGATTTAGAAAAAAATCAAGCAAACATAAAAACGTATTTGAAATTGTTTGGTTTGGTTTGGCTGTTATTACTTATTATTTAAGTTTGTAATTTCCATTAACTTTTTCTAGTACAGTACTTCAAAATGTCTGTTTCCTTATTTGAATCATCCCTGCATGCCCCTGGTTGCTGCCATGTACCTCGAGCATGATAACAATCTGAAATGAGCACCATGGACATGAAGCAGCTTTCATTAGCACATTACTGACTCTATGTTTCCCAGAATCACCTGCAATGGCAATTTCCATGCACTGTAAGATTTACCCCCCAAAAATGTTTAAAAAAAAATCTTGCAACAAGGATGCCAGAAAAATATCTGTAAAATAATATTTTTAGTGAATTAAAGTACAGTAACTACAGTGTAATTTCCTGGTAACACATTTTTATTAGTCAAAATGCATTATGTACAGTTTTGGCCTGTTTATTTATGGTAAAAATGTAAATTAATGCTATTTTTCTGTGATTTTACTAAATAGTATGTAATTTACTAACACAGTGAAAGATCAGTAAACCATAAAGTAATAGGTTAGAAATTATGTCACATTTTTCAGTCCTTAATATGCATATTTCTGTCTTTTTATTCGGGGCTAATTTTGTTAAAATAACAGTATTTTTTGCTGATTTAAAAACATCACAGAATAATGTAAAATTACAGTCAGACGTTGTGAAAGATCAACACAGAAATTAATATTTTGTTTGTTTCTACTAGATATTTTCTGTAATTTAACAAACCAGTGAAAAACTAAAATGACAGTTAAAAATGTAAAAAAAAAATTTAAATGCTTGATTTACTGGATTCTTTAATGACAGCAAATATCTGTAAAATAACTTTTAAAAAAATACTATAATTTTAATGTCAAACATAATGATTTGTAAAGATACAGATTTTTGATGTGGAGATTATTTACAGTTTTGGCCTGTTTTTTTTTGTTTTCACAAGATTATCTGTAATTTTAAAAAACATAACACCTAAAAATTGCTTAATTCATTTATTTATTCATTGATTCATTTATTTATTTATTTATTTTCTATCATGGTAACAGACGGACCAACAGATCTGTTACTGAGCGTCATAAAACAGGCGTGTATTTGCATGAAGCTGTACGATTCGTTCCTTTCCAGATCTTCGTTGCGCTGGTGAACCTGTGGTATCTGTGATGGTACCCTTGTGTCACATAACGCATAATTTATTGGATGCTCGGTTATCGGCCTAATGCTGCTCCACTCGAGCCTCATTATTTAGCTGCGCTCCTGGCAGCGGTTGCCAAGCTTTGGGCTTTTACCTGAATGAATGCACCCTTGAGTGTCCTCAGCGTCTCCCCTGTCTGAGCGGGATTAAGCTTTGTAAACACGGGAGGCGGAAAATGAAGTTGGTGCCCTCCAAAACTGAACTTCCTGACCTACACGATTATCCTTTTCACACATGGGGTGCTAAAACTGAGCCTCGGAGTCGTTCATTCTCCAGCCGTCATGTCGGCAGAGTGGCGGAAAATGAATTCCAGCAGGTTCTGGGACACCGAAGTCACTAATTGAATGAATAATTGAAGTCTGTGGTTGTTGCAGGGATTGGATGGGTGACTTGAGAGGGAGGAGTGACAAGAAAACAGTAACTTTAGACACTTTGTTGTTCACAGAATGCACTCAAGTGTTGAAGCCACGAGGAGGCTAAAAATACATCAGTTCATTGGTTACATCT